AGTTGATGTACCAAAATGTTATGTGTTTTTCTTCAATAATGATGATGATGTTAGTGTGAGTTAGTTATGGAGTAATTAGCTCTTGTCTATCAAGACAACCATGCAAGGTGTAGAGGCTTTGAAGTGAGCCCCTTTATAGCTTATAGACAAGGTCCATTATGCTTTCCCAGATTCTACTCTCCTAAAACTGAGCCCACAACGCAGCAGTGCCATTAGCTTGTTGATTCTGGTCCATGTGCTCTCTATAGTATGAACAAAACCTAAAGTCTTTGGGTCACCATTAGCAGCAGTGGAGAGAGTTTAAGCACAAGAAGCATTGAGCTAATGGCCAGAAGCATTGAGACAACATTGCCTTAGACCTCACACTGCAGATGTAAAGCTTTGTGGTTGTAGGTACAGGAGTGCCTAGGTACCCTCACATATCAAAAAGTACACTGCTATTTTTCAGCAGGAATTCTGGACTCATAATCAATTTTTATGATACTAACTGGGCACAATTGTCATTTCTAAATGTTCATTTAAAATATAACAAATCTTTACTTTTTGAGTTTTAATAATGGCAAATGCCCATGCATTACCATCTCAGCCTGCAAACACAATGTTTTTTGTTTTTTTTAAATGTATATAAAAAAAAGGTGTGTGTCTCCTGATGCGTGCCACTCACTATCGTGAATACACTATTTACACTATTGTTAGAAGAAAAACAAGACTTTTTTGTTTTTGTTTTCAGCAAGGCTGAGTGTTCATCAGTCAGCCACTGGCCCTATAGAAATTAGAAAGTCAACCAATCTGTCCAGAAACAGACACATTTGGTAACTGCCTCATATGTCTATTAAAATTGTGATGTTTGGGGAAGTTAGCACAAATGACGAGCACTTAAGGACCAGTCTTGAAGCCGTTGTAACATAAAAAGGACAGTCTTTTATTTTCTTCCATAACAAAAAAGAGATTTACTTCAGCAACACAACAGTCTGCTTATGTTTCAGCAAGTAGACAATATCACAATGTCTCACCAATTCAAGATTGTCACATATCCTCCATGTGACTCTTCCACACATCCCTTGTGTGTCACAGGCTCACTAAGCCTCCTTGGCTCCACTCTGGCATCTGGGTGGAGTCCTCCTGAATCCTGAACACCTCTGTTCCTCTTCCCAGGCGGAGCCCTGAACATCAGCCAGCAACCTTTGCATAAGGGATGTGCACATGTGTGCAATCATTAGGTGCTGGCCCCTACTAAACCACAGACCCAGGACTGGAGATCTCATCCCTCCCAATTCTCTTTGAAATCTCCTAGTTCCAGGATCCCATGCCAAATCCATAAAACCTGGTAAGAACTGCAAAGTCCGCTCTTTCCCAGTACAAGAACCTGCTTCCTGGAACCGTTCAGCATCTCTGGCTGAGAGTCCAGGGTGACTACAACCCCCAGTTCTACTGTGGGATTGCCACACAATACCACAATATGAAAAACCCAATCCACTGTTACTAGCCTACTAACCTAATTAAAGAAAAGTCTGGCATAGGACTTTACAACTATAGAGGAAATGGAGTCTCTAAGTCAATGTTTCTATACCAGGGTTCCAAGGAATCCCAGGATTCCTCATGAAGTTGATAGGGGTTCCTTGAGCTGTTAGCAATGGTGGACTGATATCCCACCTACACTGACCACTGCTGCAAAGGGGAAATTATCCACTAACCACCAAAGTAAGGGGTCACTTATACACTGACCATCAATGCAAGGGGGCAATTTTCCACTAACCACTAATCTAAGGGTCACCTCTACAATGACCACCAATGCAAGGGGCAATTACCCACTAACCACCAATATAAGAGGTCACTTCTACACTAATCACCAATGCAAAGGGCAATTACCTACTAACCACCAATATAAGAGGTCACTTCTACACTGATCACCAATGCAAGGGGCAATTACCCACTAACCACCAATATAAGAGGTCCCCTCTCAAAACCACCTAATTTTAGATGACGCCACAATGTTTCCTATCTTCCTGTCTTTTCTATTGATATCATTCATTTTACTTTAAAGTAAATCATTTTGTAGGATGTATTAGAAAGGTACAGCAGATGACTTATTCTTTTATTGAAATCCTTCTACCATGTATTGAGCACACTGGCTATAGGGAAGTCTGTATAATGATGATCACATGATGACTTCACATTCATCTCTTGTACATTCATTACAATGCGGTTTATTCTACAGAGAAAGGAATATTGTACCCTGTATCCCCATTGTTATTATTATGAGCTGGCATCAGAAATTATTCCACAGGACATAAGTGACATATCATCTGCCACCCGTGACATTATTATAGTGGAATAAGGTGATGGTGTTGGAATGTGCCCATAGGTATGAGATGGTGATTCTGAGGTCTGGTTGTCACCTGCACTATGGAGCCTGCATGTATCTTGTAGGTGACCGGGACAGCATATCCTTGTGTCATTACATATAGGAGCAATCCTGTCCTACAGGGGCTCATTCACATCACCCCGCTGCACTGAATATACAGCCGATGGTGTACGCTGGGAGGAACAACGCTGCTGTGTCGATCTCAGCAAATCTCACTGTTTCTTTTATTGTTAGATCTTTATTGAAACTAAATAAGTGACATTTAATTCCGATCTATTCACCATGGTGGTGGTTTGTGGCGCAACACCCCAGATAGCAAGGATAACTTGCCACAGACTTGTGGCAGGGTTAAATTGTAATTCTTGTTAAAGGAGAACTATGGGGTCAGGGCTTTTCCCCATAGTTCTCCTAAGGGTAACGGGAGGACACACCCTAGCGTCCTCCCGTGACCCAAAGCTCAGTATACCGCGAGCTACAGCTCGCGGTATACTGAGACCGCCGCAGCCGGGACGGATCTTGACATTACTGTCTGGATCCACCCAGCTGCGTGATTGACAGCTGGCTCTGCCTCCAAAAATCACTCGCCTCATAATTCTCCTTTAACCACTTGAAGTCCGCGGTGTTAAACCCCCTTCTTTACCCCCTTTTTTGTAAACTTTTTTTATACGTGACTTTTATTCTTTCAACTTTTTTTTTATATATATATTTTTTTTCACTTATTGTTATTGCTATTACAGAGGGGGATAACAATCTCCCTATATAATAGCACAGGTACACTGACAGGTCCTCTTTATGGAGACATTAGGGGTCTCTAGGACCCCTAATGTCACCTGGGGACCCCAAAAGAAGCTGATGAAGCACAGATCTGCTTCATCAGCTTCTTTTCTCTGGCTATAGCAGCCAGAGGACTGACAGGTGAATGCGGAAGTGATGTAATACACATCACTTCTGCATTCACAGCCCGGAGGGAGATCAGCAAGGAGCTGATCTCCCTTCCTCTTCCTCCTGACGCCCTCCCGAGCCGCAGATGGGCTAGCGGATCCCGGGATTGAAGGTGAGGGATCAGGGAAGGGCGGCGGCGGCAGCAGACCTCTGCCTCTGGCTATAGAGCCGCCGATCGGGTATATGTTAAACAGCCGGTAACGCCTCTCTGCAGTGCACGGGTTTCTTCTGCCCGTGCGCGCGCGCTAGGGGTCACGCGCGAGCAGGAAAAAAATGTCGTCTGGAGACGGCAACCCGCTAATGCAGCAGTGCCGTCCGTCCGTTTTTTTTCAACGGACGGCCGGCAACTGGTTAATGATGACACGTGACCAGCAAGCCTCTGCATGAGCAGCTCTGACTGCAAATACAAGAGCAGACTAGGTGCGCTATTGTTCATAACAAGGGGCGGGGCTGCATGGCGATTGGCTGGGTGTAAGCGGGGCTAAGGTGTGGCTGCTTCTCAGAGGGAATCACACTTCGTGGTCTTGCAAACAAAATTACTTTTAATGGCCGGATAGGCGTCAGTGGAAAATATTATTTACAACACTTGAGAGAATGGTTTCCTTTCAGGTATATAAGGCACAGATTCACAGTACATCCGCAGAAGATACAGATTGCAGCTTTATCAATTGATACTGCAGGCAATATCCATTCTTCCGGCACAGGTATAATACACAAAGCACACAATGAGTACTTGCCAGGGGCTGGTGTCCATAAGCAGGTTACCCAGATGCAGCAGTAATCGTTTAGCAGAGAGATATATTGAGTCTCATTATATTTTCCCATACACACAGCAGTGGTGCTGATTCTGCATCATGCATCTGGGAGTCTCCCAAACGATTTAGTTTTCCTATACATGACTCCTGAGGATCCCTGATTTGCCCCTGCAGACAGGAACACTCTCCCTGAGTAAAGCCTAAGGCCCCGTTCACACCTGGGCGTTTTGTAGCGCGTTCGAACGCTCTGCAAAACGCTCAAACACCGAAATCCCATTATTTCCTATGGGTATGGTTCACACCTGGGTGTATTTCAGCCCGTCTGAACGCGCTACAAAACGGCCTACGCCCAAAGAAGTACATGTACTTCTTTTGGGCGTTTTGGTCGCGCGTTTCCATTGGGATACAGCCAAAAAGCCCTCGGAAACGCGCGTTTGTCGTGCGTTTTTTTTTTAAAAACGCACGACACGAAACGCGCGACAAACGTGCATATTCAATATGCCTAGGTGTGAACCTAGCCTAACTTTCCCTCATAAGCTGGGTATCTGTCCCCTTCTATAATAACACATATACTACTGCCCATGCCCACAATGGTGGCTGGGCTCTGTTTATATATAAAAGCCAACCCAAAATGGCTGACCAAATCTCACGAGATTTCGTGCCCTATCAGGACACGAGACTTCTCCAAGATGGCTGCTGGAGACAACTACAGAGGTCAGCTAGTTCCCAACATGTTTTCACATAACAGCAAGAAACATAAACAATAATCTACATGTAACATAACATTTCTGCGTGAGAAGTGAGTATCTTACAATCACTGACCCACTTTATCTCACAGCCAGCCAGGCTGTCCTGACACTGACAACTGCCTGTGAGGGGACTTCCAACATGGGTGTCGCCTCTCTGTCTCTCTATTGGCTGTACGGGTGACAGTGTTATAGGAAGCTGGAGCAGAGGTGTGTGTGGGTTCCCGACATTGGAGCTGTGCGCGCTTTTGACATCATGGCATCGGCCGGTAGTGCTGCCTATTTCCAGAGAGCCAGTTTATTGTGGATGGTCGTCATCACCCTGTCGATGGGCTTCTTTGCAGTAAGAGGGGGATGGGGGCAATCATGCCATGGTCAGGCTATAGGGAAGTCTGTGTAATGGTGATCACATGATGACTTCACATTCATCTCTTGTACATTTATTACAATGCGGTTTATTCTACAGAGAAAGGAATATTGTACCCTGTATCCCCATTGTTATTATTATGAGCTGGCATCAGAAATGATTCCACACTGGGGACATAAGTGACATATCATCTGCCACCCGTGACATTATTATAGTGGAATAAGGTGATGGTGTTGGAATGTGCCCATAGGTATGAGATGGTGATTCTGAGGTCTGGTTGTCACCTGCACTATGGAGCCTGCATGTATCTTGTAGGTGACCGGGACAGCATATCCTTGTGTCATTACATATAGGAGCAATCCTGTCCTACAGGGAGTCATTCACATCACCCGGCTGCACTGAATACACAGCCGCTGGTGTACGCTGGGAGGAACAACGCTGCTGTGTCGATCTCAGCAAATCTCACTGTTTCTTTTATTGTCAGATCTTATTTGAAACTAAACAAGTGACATTTCATTCAGATCTATTCACCATGGTGGTGGTTTGCGGCGCAACACCCCAGATAGCAAGGATAACTTGCCACAAACTTGTGGCAGGGTTAAATTGTAATTCTTGTTAAAGGAGAACTATGGGGTCACACACTAGCGTCCTCCCGTGACCCAAAGCTCATATACTGAGACCGCCGCAGCCGGGACGGATCCCGACATTACTGTCTGGATCCACCCAGCTGCGTGATTGACAGCTGGCTCTGCCTGTCCAGAGGCAGAGCCAGCTGTGCCCGCCCCCTCCCCCGTCCGTTTCGTCAGTCAGCGCTGGAGGATCGGACAGGGGAGGGGGGGAATGCCTGCTGGGAGCCGTGAGTGACAGTCACGGCTCTCTGCAGGGATAGATCGAGAAGTGACGGTATGTGTTCGCTCACTTCCCGATCTACTGAGCTCAGATTATGAGGCTGAGTGAAAATCACTCGCCTCATAATTCTCCTTTAACTTGCTGCACACATTCCGGGCAAGTTGTAGACTTGCAGAACACTCGCAGCACAAATTCTAGTTGACACTTTAAATGATGCCTCTTGATCCGATCATCTTCTTTCCAGTAGTTTTCAGGAGTCCCTCCAGCGCTGGTGTCGGTCTATGATCCAGTGCTGACTGCTGTGTCTTCCTATCCCACGGAGTCTGTGCGCGTGCCAGCTGCCTGAACTGACTTACCCTGTGTCTCTCCTCTTTTCCCGGCCGAAGATCACTACTGCGCATGCGTTTGCCCCATGATCCTTCACAGCCGCTCGAAAATCTTCAGGTCTTTGGACAGGAGCGAGTGGCGGAGACACAGGCAAGTTTTTACCTATTTGGTAACTTTTTTTTATTTATTTTTTTTCTAATGTTTTTGCATGTATCTGCTTGCTAGCAGTAGATCTATGCAATGGTTTAATTGTACTTTAAGCAATTAACCTGGAGTTCTGCTTTCATATGTGACTGAGACACCCACAAACCATTGGTAGTTCAGACCAGTGATGATTCACAGTCTATGTGGAGGTTGTTTGATATGCTTTTCAGGGGGGGGGGAGTGGTTGGGGGACAGCGACATTTACCATGCAGATCTGCCCTACTAGGCAAATATTTTGGGGGGAGTTGACCTTCTTGGAGCTTTCTACCATAATAATCTTGACGATCCCCTTTGGCATGATGTCTGATGATCTGAAGGAGTTTCTGTCCTCAGATGGCCACCAGATCATTTGTTTTAGGGGACTTTTGATGATCTTTAGGTCTGCTGGAGGACCTAGAGCTTCCAGATTTTCCATAAATCCCTTAACCAAGCTACTACCTACTATGTCTTACTGGATGAAAGGAAAATCATTCATAAAAAGAATTCTGGTAAATTAGAAATATATGTCTCTGGAATCTGTAACGCACAATAAGATCTTTAGAGTCTCTGATTATATATAAAATGTTCTTTTCCAGTTGACAGTCTTCTGGCCTACAAAGGTTCCGTATGAGCAGCTTGGACCTCTTGGATCACTCGTCCAGTATCTGGTAAAGAACCACTATAGCACCTTGTTTAACGGGTAAATTTCACAACCTTCTTTCAATACTATTATTTCTTACCAAAAGTAATGAATGCATTGATGATATGGTGCGCTAGTGTTTGGAGAAGTACCACTAAGAAGCTTTAACTGGAATTGTAACTTAATTTTCAAGGGGTGGTCAGAGTATTTGTGTAACCTGCAGGGGAATAGTAAGGTTTATAGGCAACCTTGGCATTCCAGCTGTGGTGAAACTACAAATTCCATCATGCCTCTGCCTTGGGGGAGTCATCCTCTGGCTATCAGAGTCCTGAGTGCCCCATGGGCCTTGTAGTTTTCACAACAGCTAGAGTGCCGTGGTAGCCCATGCTTCTAAACTTTGCTATTCCCCTCCAGGTTACAAAAATACAAGTCCCATGGAGCATTGCAAGACTCGCAGCTGGGGTGCAGAGGTTGCCTACCCCTGGGTTATAGTATTACACACACCCATCTTTATTTGCTTCAAGTAGAAGTCCTGGCAGTTTTTTTTTTTTATAACTGTAAGAATCCTTACTTTGACTCAACATGCCTCACTTTATCAGGTCCTAAATCCTACTCCCGATATTGGTAACTGGTTTTCTGGGCCATACAGGTGGAACGGCAATAAAATGAAAAGTGATGCTGCCCCTTCAGTTCCACCACAGCTCTGACTATGTACCAGAGAGGAACTCTTCAGTGACATAAATGTATCTCCACCACTTCCGCTCCCCCATAGATGTTGACTGATAGCCTGTAACCTCTCATTGTCATCTGGATAAATGGCATGTTACCGCCTTCTGCCTCTGCAGCAATCCCTCCTGTTAGGCGTCTGTCTTAAGCAGACCTGTAGGGTCATGTGATCTTACAGGATGGATTTATAGTACTTTTACTATTTATTTTTATCATTGAAGGTTTTTAGCACATGTACCCAGGTTTTCTCTAGTGACCTTTTATTTTTTTTCTGGTTCCTCTAAATCCACTTTAAGGGCCGGTTCACACCACAAAGAGTGCGTTCCGGAGCGGTCAGGCTCTGGAATGTACTGTATCACCTGTATCACACTCTGGTCGGCTCCCTGCCTTCAGGGGTGGAAGGGGGCTTGGCGGTGCATTGAAGTCAGTGGCACCGCAGCCACGCCCGCAGTGCAATCGCACGAACACGTGGCACATTAGTGTCTGCGTTCCGTTGCAATCTGCAAAAATAGTGCTTGCAGCATTTTGGCAGATCGCACTGGACCAGAAAGCATGCACTATTGTGCCACGCGTTTGGGTGTGGGCAATGCTGCAGCGATGACTTCAATGCACCGCCACGCCCCCTCCCACCCCTGAACGCAGGGAGCTAGCCAGAGTGCAATACAGTGCATTCCAGAGAAGATCATTGTAGCGGGCAGAATATTACATTATTATAGCCACTAGAATGAATTCACACCCACATATGCATTTACACCAGTCTGCTCCTCACATGTATGCAGGTTTGGTTGATTTATTTTTTCCCCAATCTCTGATCACTGCTCTAAATTATGGCTCTAAACACCAGAATGTGCATGACACATTGGCTATTATAGAGCTGCATTAAGAAGAAAAAAAGAAGTGTTTTTTCACTCTTGTGCATGAGGCCTAAAATCGTATCATTTAAGGCCACATTCACACGGGGGACTTATTTTGTGTTCTGGGATTCCTGTGGGGAGAACCTACAGATTCCTGCAGCAGGTGTCCCCCGTTCAGATGCAGCCACTGTGCTCGTTCAAGTTAATAACACGCTGATAGCAGCAACATCTGTCAGCAGCAGTCCCCATGGGATATATGATTGTCCCTGGGTGTTGGAATTTGTAGTTTCTTGGCACGGGTATCCCAGAACGCCCCATGTGAATGTAGCCTTACACTGTTACATGTGGCAGGAATTTACTAGTCCTGATCCAATTAGCTGAGCTGGGAATTGATTACATTGTCTGTTCCATCCAGTGAATGTCTATCATTGGCATAGGTGTAGTATAAAGCAGGATGGAACAGAAGAGGGTAAGGGTGGCTTCATTGGGGTGGGTCATCCATACCAGGCTCACTATGTTATTAGTCTGACATAATGCCCTCTCCTTTATGACCACATATCATGTATAGGCAGACAACATTGACCATTGCATGTCATTTAGAGCAGTGGCTCTCAAACATTCTTCTCCAAGTCCAACATTCTTATCATCTGACACAAAGGGGCTGATTAATAAGTCTTCTGCCCAGCATAAAGCTGGGCGAATGCTGTTTGCATGGCAGTAGATGGTGCTGAGGAGTATAGGAATTTCCTGTGCTCCTCGGCTTCATCTAGTAGCTGTAGTTTTGTGCGAATGGCATTCACCCAGCTATATGATGGGCAGAAGATTTAAAAACCAGCTCTTACTGTGAGCTCACCACTCATGTTACATTCTGATTGTACAATCTCTGTTAAGCTGCCCATACACCTTGCGATCATCGGGCGAAACTTTTCATCAAATGATCGAACCGTCGTACGATTTTCGAACTCCGGCCCCATCCTGCCCCGATTATTGCAAGGTTCAATCGGCAGTAATTAAAAGAAAGCACCTGGACGAATTGCGGTAATCAACCGCACATATTTTCGCCTGAGCAGTGTAAATCGTACGAATTTTGACGTACGGAAACACCACCAACCTTGCGAAAATCGTATATGATCGACCAAAGTTTGAGGTTGTACACTGCCCATCAACCTTACAAATATCAGACGAAAACACGATCACATACAAAAATCGGCCGATATTCGTAAGGTGTATGGGCAGCTTTAGGTCTACATGCAAGTATGTCATGCAAGGTCCTGCCTGATTGCATACAGGTGGATTGGATAATTAAGGCATTTCCTCATATTAGATAAGATTAATAGATCTACAGTTGATTGTACAAAGAATGTATGGTCAGATTGTAACGTGTGTGGTGAGCCTTGGAGCAAACATGTCACCTAAACTTTTTTTGCAGATTGAACTAGACTGGAATGCAGGCACTAATGTGCTTGCGTTCCGGGTGCGGGCGATCGCAGTGTGGGTGGGGGGCATGGCTGAGTTGCCATTGACTTCAATACAACCCCACGCCCCCTCCCGCCCCTGAATGCAGGGAGTCGGCTGGCTTGCATTCCATTGCGTTCTAAAGGCGCCGGCGTCCTGTCCTCCCGCGGTGCTCGTGTGGCCGACGTTGCACACGGGGAGAGGTGTCCTGCCCCTTTCCATCTGCGGCGTCTAACACATTCAGCCGGCAGCCACACAATCACCGTGGGAGCGTAGCCGTAGCTAGCTCCTTTTGCACCCGAGGCAAGAAAAAAAAACGTGCCCCTCCAACAGGCGTGTGATGTCACCCGGCGCCCTGCCTCCAGGATTTTTTCTTTTTTACTATTTTTTATTTCTTATTTAATTTTAATTAATTCATTTTTTTTACTGTTGGGGGACTTTGGAGAAATATTAGGGGTCTTAACAGCCCCCTGATATTTCCCTTTTAAAATAGAAAAAGAAATTGAGGACACAAAGTCCTCAATCTCTTTTTCTGGAGGCTCTGTTCTAAATGAATAGAAAGCAGAGGCTTCCCATTCATTTAGAAAATATTTACTATCATCCAGTTTCTGAATGGGGAGGAGCCTCTGTACAGAGTGCTACTCCCCATTGAGAAACTCATGAAAACACAGGAAGTTATGTAAACCACTTCCTGTTCATTCATAACCGGGGACACATAGTACTATGTGTCCCCAGTTATTTACAAACACTGGAGTGATCAGCTGATCGCTCCAGTGTTTGTCCTGCACAGAGGATTGGTACAAATCACTGACATGTACCGATCCTCTGCCGCTCGGCCACGCACACAGGGGGGCTCAGCCTGCAACTTCTCCTCTGGATCCCCGCTGCTCTCCCGGGCAGAGGCAGCAGGGGACCTGAGGAGAAGTGAAGGAAGCACTTCAGCCGCTATCACAGCAGCATGGACAAGCGGTGAGGAGAGAGAGAGCCGCCGGCTGTCAGATCCTGGCCGAGCATCTTTCTCTCTCTCTTCCCTCACTGCTCAGCCATGCTGCCGTGATAGCGGCTCCCTCCTCCACCTCCCGCCTATGGCTGCAGCGCTTCCTTTACTTCTCGGATCCCTGCTTCATACAGATGGGGGAAAGCAACGGGGGTCCAGAGGAGAAGCCCCACGGCGGGAGGACAGGACATTGCGATCTACCAGTGATCACTTTGCGATCACTGGTAGATCGCAGCCGACCTAATGGGCACCCCTGCTTTAAAGGATAAATATACCTTTTAGTACAGTTTTTTACTTTAAAGAGACCCTGTCACCAGACTATTCATTTCAACCACTCCTACCAGTAAACTATAGATGCATTTTACCTCTTTCCTGTTGGTTATGTACCTGTAAAAGCTCTGATACGTGTGTTTTAACTCGCATGAAATATACAAGCAACACATTTAAATTCGGTGTAGACAGAAGTAAAGGATCACTCATTTTTGACAGTTAAGCAGCCATAGATTTTTGTAGCAAAGGCAATTTAGAGAATTCATATAAATAGAACTGCTCTTTACCCTCTTCTAGCAAAATCAGATAGTTAGGCAGATAATGGAGTTCAGTGCGTGTTTTGTACAAAGCGCTCTCCACCTTTGAACCCAAATGACTGAACTCGAAGAAGAGTTCATGTTCAGCAAAAAGAAAGGACATCATACATAATGCTGACTAATCGATCCTACATACCATGTTGCAGATTTCCTTGCAAAGCTAAAAACGTAATTTTCAGTGGGACCCTCCAAGCATACCACATTTTTGAACTGCCTTAGATTCAGGTTTCCAGTATCTTGATCAGTGATTCTCAATCAGAGTGTCACAGCACACTTGTGTTTCGCCTGAGTTTTATCGGTAGCCCCAGCAAAAAAGATCTAAAATTTGCTACAGCCTGCGTGTGCCCATTTCCGCTGTAGCAAGGGAGCAAGTGGGCCAAGGAGCGGGGGCGAGTGGGAGTCCTAGCAACCAATTAAGTCATCCCTTGCTATAGATGCTGTCGGTGGCCACAGTCTTGAGCTGTGGATGCCGTCAGCGTCTTTAGCGACAGATGACATCAATGGTTGCTAGGAATCAGTTGGGTGGCTTGCGGGACACCAGCTCCGGTCCCTGGCAAATATTGATTTGGTTGGCAGGCAAGCCTGCACAGCATCGTTTGCCAAGAGCTTAGACACTCAGCAAAGTATGCTGCGCAGGCCACCTGTCAGCTGAGATCATGTGATCTGGGGCATTTGGACCAAAGAGACAAGTTCAAGGACTGCCAGAATAGGGGTAGAGCTTTATGTTCCGTCTTTACACTTCGATCGAAGAGCGAAGACGATCAGGAGGTAATTTTTTATAAAGGTATGCTTTGATTTTCACTATAGATCCCATGTAGGCTGCTTCTATTTCTTGTACTAGATTTGTTATAGATTCACATACTGTTTGCAATAGTAAACCCTCTTCATACTGACAATTTTATCTTGCCAGGTTCTGGGTGGCGTGGCTGTTACATGTTGCTGAAGCTGCTTACAGTTTACGACTGTGCAGGTTGGTATTTAATAACCTGTTGTTTTACTGTTGTGTATAACCGTTACATACATACATACATACATACATACATACATACATACATTATTTATCTGGATCTGTAAGTTAGTATATTAACAACATATATTGGTAAGCTGTCAGTCCGCAACACTGGTTTAGCAGACTAAAAACTACAAAGTTCACTGGTGAAATATAATTATTCTGTGACCATGTTTATCAGCTTACAGCTCTGCTACCTTTGTCCTAGAGTCCCAGGGCACAAGATTATTTCTATGTTTGCTGCCTTTCAGACATAAAGCACAGAGAAAAAGAGAAGACATATATTTATAATGCAGTGTCTGTGACAGTAAAGTAAAGTAGAAATGCCATTCCTAAGCCATTTTTTTGGCTTTCTGTGACTATACCAGGATACAGGGTTGTATTTTTTTTTTTGCCCTTAATAAGGACCTGTACTGTGGAAGCAGAGGACAAAAGGGCTAGTTACTAGTATTGCCTGTAGGCTCCGTGCAGTTGATCTTTTTCCCGTTTCTGACTTACCATGCCATATTCCAAGCAGCCATCTTGATAGAGGTAGGACTTTGTTTCCCTATGTCAAGCTGCCCCCCTGATGGCTGCTGGTGTAATGAACTAGAAGCAACAGGAGAGGTGCAGAAAACACAGATCCACAGAATGAATGAAATAGAAGCAGGGAAATCCTTTTCACTGTAGGTCCTCAGATACAGCTTACTCTCCAGCAAAGAGAAAAGTGAGCCGCACAGTAGTGACATAACCAAACTTCATGGGTTTAACATTTAGAGGCAGCGGTGGCTTGATCTCGCACTGCAGATGTACAACGGTGGCTTGATCTCGCACTGCAGATGTACAACTATGTGGCTCGAGGCAGAGGAGTGCCTAAGTACAAATGTGCACTGCAGTTTTTCAGGAGGGATCCTAGACACAAGGTACATTTTTCAGGGTATTGTCCAGACACAATTAACATTTCGAGGTTTTCAGACAGCCTAAACATACCTGCAGCAGCCTCTAACACCCTCCTGTCATGGCCAAATGCTGGGCTGTTTTGACAGGCCAAAAGTTCTAACACTTTCAGGTAATGTCAATGTTTGCCGCTAAGCCCCCCTCACCCCCACTTCTATTGGTCCATCACAATGATGACTCGCCTCACTGGCCAATAGGAGTGTATAGAAGGCAGGCAGGATCAATCAAGCTTCAGTACTTTCAGGATGTGATGAAGCTTTTGACTTTTTTAGGTATGTGAGTAACCTCTAGGTTTCGTTCCTGGCAGTCCTCTCTTGTCCTGATTAATTGTGAACTCCTCAGTGTTCATACCTATCAGGAACTCGAGGACCAACCCTACACACGTCTCTGACCCAGGTGCAGAGAGGGGAAAAAAGATAGGCCATTCAATACTATGATAATATTATTAACAGTGTTTTCTTTACAATAGTGTGTAGATGTACTTTTAACATTACTTGCGTCAGACATTTTTATAGACCTCCACAACCATTATTGTGCCCAAATGAACACCCTTTTAAATGTAGACTTTAATATTAAATTGACTAAATTGTGGGGTGGCTATTCATGGACTGATTCTATCAAAGTTCAGTGGCCAAATGTGATGATTGTGTGACACTTCGCCAATAGTGATAAAAAGTGCTGCTGACCACCATGGGCACACAGAGATCTTCCAGATTGTTGGAAAATCTCTGTGTTAAGGTAACAGTTCATTACCAAGTGCCACTTCTGTTGTTTGCTGTTGCTACATCATAGTGGATCTTGGTGGCTTTGAGGAAATTCAGATTTCTCCATGCCCATAGCTCTGGTTTAGATTCCAGCCTGTTTATGGGAGTTTTAGTATTGTATGATATAGTAAAGGTTGACTAATATGAAGGCTCCTGGTGTTATTCAGAGAGAACTAGTTATAACTAGTTATGCTCAGTTGTTTGGTGACTTCTTTCAAGTTTAGAATATCTGACGTTTATGCACTAGGGGGCAGTATGCTCTGTGAATGAATTTCCTAATCCTAGTCCGTTGACCCAACAAATATGATCCTACTTTTTTTTTAATATGTAATCTTTTTTTCAGTTTGCATGTTATAATAATTATCTTTGTTTTTAACACCATAGCAACCCAATGTAATTAAACGAAATCATTGTTTTAGTGTGATTCAGTGATTAAAGTGAATCTCAGGGAGTTACAACATGTGATTTCTGTTTAATCATTGCTGTATAAATATTCAGCATGACACATCTGGTTTGTTGTTTCTATAATGTGTTATGGATCTGGATGGAAATATACTAAGAATTGTTCCACTAATCTATGTGGAGTATACTGGGAGACCTTTAAGAAAAATCATTCCAGAAATTGTTAAAAAGACATCTTTTTTGTAAGGCTAAAGAAGTAAACATACCTTTTAAAACCCAAACCCACCATGCTGTGCTGAGCACTTTTTGGTGCTTTACTTTAGTGCTGCACCCACTCACTCTGATCTCAGTCACCTATGCTCCAACTTCTGCATTGTGAGTTGGTGGGGGGGCATGTCGCGTGCTCCTTGTGCCCCGATTTTAAATGAGCTTGGGTGAGGATCCATTTCTAAAAGGGATCATGCATGACATGGAAACATGTTAGATCATGGACGATTCATATGCATTTGTTCAGGAACTTCATTCAGTGAGTAAACTATCTGACATTTTGATACTTTTACAAACTATGATCTGTATAATGCTGGTAGCGTTTTTATTCTCAATTACTTTGCAGGTTGTATTTGGCTTTGAAATGGTATATGCTTTGTATTAATACATTACACACTTTTTCCAGTGCAAAGGGAATCACCGACTCTGGAGCCAGAACACAGTGGGTCCTCCAAACCTTCCTTTTTGGAATCGCTTCGCTCTCTCTGCTTATCACCTACAAGCCAGCGAAGAAGCGACGATAGAGCAAGCAGAAGGACTGTATGGAAAGCACGCTCTCATGTGTTTTCTGGATTGCAATTCTTCAATTGTTGACATTTTAAAAGACCCGTTGTATCAATTCATGCACAACCTCTAAGCTGCAGGGATTTGAAAATCAATTTCAATTTGAAAATCTCTCCATAACTGGCTCCTCTATACCTGCTCGGCCTAACCTCAGAAACCACACGCAGGAATTCTATAGTAAAAAAATTATAAGGGAAAGTATGAAGTAGGAAGAACTTGTGTATCTGTGCTGTTATCAAGGAGACCATCCAATAAGACTGAATAAATGACCCACAACAGTCACCTTTACTAAACCTGAAATGCATTGACAGTAAGCATGTTCTTAAAGTTACTGCATATTTTGGTTTCTTTTTGGTTTCAGGGTGTTGTGTAGAGGTACAGACGCCATCTACATTGCAGATTTTAAACTGGAATATATAATTAATCAAATAAAGGATTATAAAAAAAAAATTTTTATAAGAGGAACTGATTTTATGTACGGTATACAGTATAATGTAATGCTTGGTCTTCTTACTTGCAAATCCTTTAATCAAAGTGTAATATGGTCTAATATGGTCCTTCTGTTGCAGCTAGTTTTGCACGATTCACTTATCCTTGAGGGCTTGTTCACACCGTGTCCATTGAGCTGCAGTTTTCTGCACACCATGGCACATGTAAGGTGTGAACAGGGTTTATTAAAACAACAGTTGTTCTCAATGTGCCCTGATCACACCTTACATGTGCCATGGTGTGCAGAAAAAGCATCTCAACAGACATGGTGTGAATAATACCTTAAACCTGACAGTTTGTAGCTCCCAAATACTTAAAGGAAACCTGTAATAAGGAAAACAGAGTCGGTCAATACAAACCTGAAAATGCTAATTGTCTGTCTCTCACTGACTTTACAGCTCTGCGTAACAGACCTAGGATGAATACGAGGCAGGGTGGGTTATGTTGAAGTTAAAGCTCCCGATTTGCATACTTGTTAGTATCTCAGAAAGTACTGAAGCTACTGGATCAGCTTCACAGCCTGTCTTTTCAGAAGAAAAGTTCAGTACTTGCAACCTACACATTTTGACATTAGGTTTCCTTTTAAAGCTCTTCACCTGCACCAGTATTGTACACAGGAAACTAAAAAGCTGAAATCAGAAGCAGTGATGGCAGATATGACTGTTCACAGGCACACACATATTAATGATAAACCCAATTTCTCTTTTGTTCACTGAAGGACACAGTGAAGATCTTCAGATCTCTACAAAGCGCTCAAACATGAAAATCCCATTGTTTTCTATGGGTCTGGTTCACACCTTGCCGTATTTCAGCCCGTCTGAACGCGCTACAAAACGGCCTACGCCTGAAAAGGTACATGAGCTTCTTTGCGGCGTTTTTGTCGCGCGTTTCCATTGGGATACAGCCAAGTAGCCCTCGGAAACGCGCGTTTGTCGCGTGTTTTTTTTTACCGCGAATCGCGGTAGAAACGCGCTACAAACGCGCATATTCGATACGCCTAGGTGTGAACAGAGCCTTAGGGGTAGGGCACTAGGCAGAAAAACAAAAGCACAGCCTAGGGGCAGCCCCTGATGGTGGCCAAACCTTTACACAGCTAAAAGCATCTCAGTTTTTTGCCTAGTGTCAAGGAGTTAGGACCTAAGCTCCCTGCTGGGAATCTTAGTTCTCTTGTTTGTGCAAGGATATTTTATTTTCCCTTTTGCATCTGTCTTCTCGACCTTCAATCAACAGCTGAGCTGGGCGACAAGCTGGATAATAAAGAATCCTTGTAGTCTTCCCAGCTCAGCCATCGAGTGCATGCAGATCCATAGCTACCTGCGGGGTTGGCTGCGACAGCCCTATCCTAGATTTGAGGGCAGCGTGTGAGTATTTCTCACAGGGGGAAAGTCCATGAACCCATCACACCCCTGACCACTTTTTCCATATAAATTGGATGGGTACAGCGGTAGTTAATGAATAGCAACTGACTTGAACACAATTAGCAATAGGGATACCAGCACTCTAGATAGGACAAATGTTCTGCCTGAGGAAGGGGATCCTGTGAGACCCCAAAACGTTGCACCCCTGTGATATGCTGCATTTACGTCAATAAATAAACGCATTTGATCTGCATCTGGAGTGGCGGTGTCCCTATTTCTACTTGTTTTCCTCAGGAGGGCACATATGACAGTGTGACTTGTTGCCCTGTCACAGTGTTCTACCTATCAGACAGCACCCCAGCTGTGACGGGAGGCTTCCTGTCTTGGGAGTTGGTGCCCTTCATGAATCCTTCCGGAGATCCCAGCGTCTCATAATGTTTCAGATAGCCCTGCGAGCTGTCTGTCAAGGTGCTCTAGCATTCTAGCAAAACTTGAGCAGACAGAATCTGTCTTCTAGACCTTCAATCAACAGCTGAGCTGGGTGACAAGCTGGATAAAAAAGATTCCTTGTAGAATGCTCTAGCATTCTAGCAAAACGTGAGCAGACAGAATCTGGAGCAGTTGCCTATAGTAACCAATGAGCTTCTGTCTTCAGTTTGTTCAGTTAGGCTCTGTAAATGTAAGATAGAAGCTGAGTGGTTTGCCATGAGCAGCTACTCCATATTTTGTGTGCTCCAGTTATGATAAATTCCCCTCATTGTGTATAAAGAGATCTCTTGCCCACAGGGCTGACATGAGATACATTTTTAAAAAGTAATGAAAAATAAGAGCACGGCATCTCTGTCAACTTTGGCATATTGTCAGCCCTGTGTAAACGGGAGATATCTTTGTAATGCATTTCGTTGTGATGGAGGCTGCAAAAAGCCCTATATCTGTAACCCTAGTACATAAGGATTGCTAGTTGCTGAACAGGCAAACCGCAATAGAGCATCTTCACTATTACAATGCTTTTTATTTGTGTGTGCTAATTCAAAGTAAAGCATGCACAACAACCTACCTGTTTATATCAAAAAAGTTATTTTTGTTATAAAGTGTGGGTAAAATATCAACAATACATTTATTTTTCAATGCTGGAATACAAAACAACATAAATACAATAACATTACTTTTTTTTAACAAAAATGCATAACACAGCATTGTTATAAGCCAATAACATTGCTTATTTTCCCTTCTGCCAATGTCAACTGCAGGACACAGTAGGGGAAACCACTGGGCACTGTGGGACCAGGAAATCAACAGTCTCAAAAGTTTTATTTTCTAAAAAGGACATTGGGGGAGGATTCTTCTTGATTGATTAGAGCAGGCAGAGAGAATAGCAAGTAAATGGTTTCTTCTTTGCAGGACTGACTTAGCTTACAACTTTTATTTAAGCGACAGAGTCACTTTACACTGCTGTAGGGAAATATTGATGATGTCTGAGGAGATGCTGATCTTGCTGATCCTCTAATTATACTACATTTTACTAAAGTCTACCCTGCAAGGTCTGTCTCACACCTTGCACAGTCTCTAATGACATGAAACACCCTCAATCCTATTAGTAGTCAGAGACCATATAAATTCTTACATGATAGTTTTTCAATCAACATGAAACCCCTTCCAAGTGCTCAGACTCCTCAAACCTACATATTCTGTGCATATATCCACCAATTTCATCTGATTTTACACAGACATTAATAACAATGGGTACAATATTTCTGCAAAAAAAATAACAATGGGTACATACCCCTACAAATCCCTGATATCACCATGCACAGATACCCATTGTCTGTGTCCTCAGATATCTAACCTAAAACAATTCTTTGCTAAAGCAGTTTTCATTTACTCTGCAGCACCATATCCAAGTGTCCCTTAGCACTGATAGAGTCAGTGGGAGGAATTTATAAAAAAAAACTGGAGCAGACAGAATCTGGAGCAGTTGCCCATAGTAACCAATCGGCTTATCTGTTCAGTTAAGCTTTCAAAATGAAAGAAAGTAGCTGATTGGTTGCCATGGGCAACTGGTCCAGATTTTGTGTGCTCCAGTTTTGATAAATCCCCTCAAGTATGTTTCCTACCTATCCCTGTGAGTAAAAGTGTATGTTTGAACTTGAATACGATTGTGTTGCATGAACAGGGAAAATCCTAATTTCAGAATCTATTGTAAATTAAGTCAGCTGAGGGTCTTTTAAAAATGAAGTTTTAAAGAACAATAATGGACAGCAACCTGTGCACAGTAACTAATAGAAATAATAGTCCGACCTCACCATCAGGCGAACACTGGAGGACTGGCTGTTATGGATTACTACACATGATCGCAACATATTACTAGAAAGATCACTGAAGGGAAGCAACTGTTGGTTTAGTTAGTTGGGGTGGAGGAATGTATGTATTACAGCTGTGTTTTTTGTACTTATCTAACATAATGAGGGGCTGAATAATAAAAGATATTCAACATTTGCATGGCATTACAGTTGCTAGATGGTGCCGAGGAGCATAGAAAATTCCAATGCGTCTTTAGCTCCTTCTAGTGGCTGTAATGCCATGCAGATGTAATTCCTCTAGCTACAGTATATGCTGGGCAAACCCATTATAAATAGACCCCTTAAAGTATAATGTACATTACATTTCCAGCATATATTTTTTAAGAAAACAAGCAGTGTACATTCTATTCACACGCTGATTGGTACTTTCCTCTATTAAAAATTAAACATAATTCCATAAAGAAATACACAGGAATCGTCATGATCTGCTTTTCAAACCTGAAAGCAAAGTTGGCATGTTCTAATAAAAAGTCTATACTTGCAGGTTGTGAGAACAAACACACATCCCATCTGTGACGACCAAGCCCCTCATCCTATTGGTCTATCCATTTCAAGGTGGAGTATCTGTCTGCTAGCGCAGTCCTCAACTGTGAAGAGTGGCTCTTATCCCTGGTCTCCACCAGACAGGTTACCTGTATTCAATGAAAATAGTCAGCAACAATTAGAGCTCTACCTGAATTACATTGCTTATCCAATATACAGCAAATTGGTCATAAACCTAAGACTGAGAAAACAATGCAAAAATGTGCAGTTCACCTGCAGTCAAAACCACAAAATTATCAGCTGAAGTAATATGCAAACTGTAATTTTCCTGTAAGGGCCCATTTAGACATTTCCAGTATGCTGCGTTGGGTTGCTGTACATGTGTTAACGTGCAGTATTTCACATGTATGTTGCTATAAGGCACCTTTTTTTTTTTGTATGGGCTGCCCATGCACCCACACTGGTTATAATGCACCTGGCACAATTTTGGTTGACATCTGTAAATTTTGCTGTACTACAGCACACATGTGCTTTCCAGGTATGTTGGGGTGCCATGGAAAATAAATGGCACCACACCGCACCACACTGCACTTAATGTCATGCCTTTCAGTAGCTCACAGTAAAATGCATGTTTTTTACAACAGCACACTGGTCTGAATATTTTTATTTTTATTATACAGGACTTATATAGCGTTTACAGTTTGCGCAGCGCTTTACAATATAAGGCACATTATAAAGACATTACAATCACAATACAATTCAAGACAAGATGGTAAGGAGGGCCCTGCCCCTGAGGGCTTACAATCTAAAAGGGAGGGGGAAGTGATACATGAGGCGGTAGCTGTGTGGGGATGAATTGTTTGGGAACGTGATGGTTGAGTGGTTAGGTTGAGGTGAGATAGGCTTCCCTAAAGAGATGAGTCTTAAAGAAACGCCTAAAGGCAGTTAGAGTGGGAGATAGACGGACAGGTTGGGGGTAAAGAGTTCCAGAGGATGGGAGAGACTCTAGTGAAGTCCTGGAGGCGAGCATGGGAGGAGTTGACGAGGGAGCTGGGAAGCAGAAGGTCTTTTGAAGAGTGGACGGAACGGTTAGGGTGATACTATGAGACAAGTTTTGAGATATAGCCGGGGCAGAGTTGTGGATGGCTTTGAAAGTCGTTGTTAATATTTTGAATTTTATCCTTTGGGATAAAATTTAAAATATTAACAACGACTTACAAAGCCATCCACAACTCTGCTCCTTTGTATTGAGATTGTAGTGCATCACAGGAGCAAGCTTGGAGCCACCCTCCAGAAGGAAGGACAGTCTCAGCACCAATTCAGAGATGATTTGAGGATCTACAGCCGAGTAATATACATAAAAGATACATTTTTATTAATAGTTAAGGTACATAAATGCATTTTTAAGATTCCTGAGTTTAGTGTTACTTTATTTACATCTTGAGCTTAGTCTGAATTTCTCAATTTTGTGTCAATTGTATTTAAGGAAAGCCACTTCACTTTGAAGTAAGCCTGGTATGAGAAAGTGCTAGTTGCCTGGCTTGCTATGACTCTCTAGCTCCAGTAGTTTCTGCGCCACAGGCCAGGACAAGTGCACAAATCACAAAAGTCCTTATTAGGACAATTGCAAGTTGCTGACTTGCGATTTCCTTCCGATTCTGTTGTGAATGCACCCTTAGTATTGGCAATACAAAGTGCCTGCTTATAGTGTTATTATTCTTAAGGCCTGCCTGATGAAGGCTACACATGAACAGTTTGTAGCCCCTTGGCTGCAATTACTTAACTTTAGTAGGCTTGTGCATGAGGTGATTGTGGAATTTTGATATTAGCTTATACACTTCATATTGATATTAATTAGCATATACATTATTATTATTAATAATATGTAATACTTCAAGCCCTATAGGTGACAGAGCACTATATAGACATATACATTCAACAGACAAACTTTAGATGAACCCTAAGAGCATACAAGACATATTAAGGCACAAATGCATGTCATTCCATATGCTTGGGCTGGAATAGAATGTATATAGAAGAGTCTAGAACAAGTTAAGAGACATGCTGTCTGCAGGAATATCAGGTTTATGTTTAGTCGCAGTGATGTAGGCCTTGGCAGCCAATCATGTTGTAGCCCATATGGTTGTACTATAACATTTCTTATAAAAAGCGGCCTGCTAGCCTCTGTTCTTTGAACTGCTTGTTCCCAGCTGCAGTTCTTATCAGTAAACCTGTTAAACAAAAGCTTCTGCCTGGTCCAATCCTTTGCTATTCTACTTCATGATTATGATTGTTGCTCAAACCTTTATAGATCAAATTGTCAAAATTTCTCTCTTTCTTCAACACATTCCCCACATTTTACAAACTGTTCCCCACCCCAATGTCCTTCACTATACCCTGCCTGCCAGGAACAAAACATACATTATCACTTTAGGGGCATACAAAGTACACTGCCAATTGTACGAATCCTCCTAATTTTTCTAAGAGTGTTAGTGACAAAGAAAAATCTAAAACATTTATAACAAGCTATGTTTAACCAGTATTGATCAAGCATCAAATAGCTGCAATAATTGATTAATTCCCACAAAGGCAGCATCTATACCTGTATAAAGACATTGCATGGCTCCAAGCTGCACAAGCAGATACTCAGCTTAAGAACCATAAGAATATAAAAACAGCAGAAATCAACAAGATATATTTGCATAGAATTTAGAAATTATAAGGGCTTCGTTTAAAAAAAAAAAAAACGCAGTCAGTGAACCAGTAAACTATTACAAGCACCATATACTGCAAGAAAAATAAGCTGCTTTCTGTTTTTTTTTTAAAAAGGACATATAATACCATATGTGCAGCGGTGTTCAGCTTTGAAACATGAACATGATACAGACCAGGCCGGACACAACACAAATGAATGGCTGGGTATTCCTGTGTGTCAAGGCTCATGATTTATTCTCTAATTTCCTTCTGAAATACCATTGGTATTAATTTATATCTAAATCCAAACGTTTTATTTCCATTTGGATAGAGTAATGAATGGTTAAAAACCCTTGTCAATTTTTTTTTTCCCTTTTGCCTTATGTGTTTCATTGGGGACATTTCCCTTCACGTCCTGTCGATACAACAAGAACTCAGGACTTCTGAAAGAATGATGCGAATGATTGAGACCATTGGATCAGCATGACATCCAGGCAAATAGCATTTTCAGAAAACAAGATCACAAATGGCCCACCTACATTTTTCTTTTAGTATGTTTTAGTGATTTTTATTATTTCCATGCTTAAAAGGAACTTGTGAGGCCATAAATATGGGAGCTGTCACAGTTGACTTGTTTCAAAATGTGAAGGCTCTTGGACTGTCACCTAATCCTAGTGGCTGCAGGACCAGCTTCTCCGACTTCACTGGTCTGGAACCAACACCTTTGAAAAACAAGGTAGCAATGGCCGCTCCCAAATTTCTATACTCATAGGTCCACTGTAATTAGCCAAAGCAATCCAATACTTCTTTTATGTCATAAACATAATATGCTCTATGCCTACTTATTTAACCTTGGGAGATACATACAATTGATTGTTTTTCTTCGACTCAACTACAGTGCTCATAAATGTTGAAATATGTTAGTGGTTGATCCATAAGGAACATTGTGAAATATAGTCTGTAACCCTTCACTTATTTCCTGTGAGTCTGCCAGTTGGGTGTTACAATGAAGCATATTGAATGACAAATAGTCTCTAGAGGGAGAGAAACGTGTGTTCCTCTTTATTCAGAGCAGCAACTCCAGCCCATTGAGAATGTGTAGCTGAGTCTTTGGGCCAGGATTGGAGGAGTTAAGTCCCAGTGTTTATTTTGGTTACAATAATGGGAACCATTTGTGAATTACAACAGCAAATTCCATCTCCAAAGGGAAAACAAGGGAGAAGGTTTAAGAGACTGGAGCCGGGAATGTACACGGCCTTTGTGATTCACTATTTGGCAGCAGTGGATAACATGTTAGAAACACATCTGGGCTTCCAATAAACACAGGTTTATCCAATAAACACAAAATTCATAGAGAATAAGAATACATTCATCCTTATTTTAGATTAATCGATATGAATTACTTTATGCTCCATGGTGCTTCAAAACATTTTTTTATCTCATACCTTTTCTACTGCATATGAGGACCTTCATGCCATTACCTACCTCTAGGGTGAACAGGTCATTGTTCAGGAAAATATTTTCCTTCTGCATATCCAGCACCCTGAATTAAAAAAGTCATAATAATTAAAAACCAACCAATCTACATAGGTACACAAACATTAAACAAAATGGACACTAAAGACTAAAGTGTTAAATGCCACATTTAAAAAAAAGTCCAGACACCATGGCAGGTCCATTTTGTTGCAAAGCAATGAAGATTCCTAACTCTCAAAATCACTTTATTAAATGTGAGCTAGCAGTCTGCCAATGTCTTTTTACTGGCAAACTCTACTGGATCACAGGATGTTCGGTTCCAGATGCTTTAAGACATGCTAAATCAAAACAGTTTTCCTTTTTTGGGATCAGATATTAACAAATAAATTTTTGTCAAATGCACCATAATACTTTACAGTTTTTATAAACTGATAATAAATATTACAAACCAATGCTACACCTAAGATGTAGCAATCACCTGACTACAACAATGTGAATTCAGTTTGACACATAAAGCACACTTCAATACCCTTCAGCAATACTCAGTTCACACTGCCCCTTCTCTTTCCGCTATTCACAATAAGGTCCCACTCTACCTCCCTCTCCCCATCCACAATTATCTTCCCCTATGCCCCCTAAACACGCCTAGTTGCACCTGTGTTTCTTGTGCAGATGACTTTCAGTCCTCTCTATTCTCTGTCCAGTCAGATAGCCTCTCTTTTTCCCTGGTCCATGGTCATACTCTCTCTTTCACTTCTCCCCATCCTTGATCAGCTCAAGCACTGCATTCTTTCTTTTACCCCCCATCCATGATCATCTACTTTCTTAGTTAATTTTTTCTTACTCAGTCCTTGATCATCATCTGCTGTGACTCATCTCTCTTTACTTCATGGTCAGCTATTACTCCATCTCCTGCCATGTTCAACTATCACTATACCTCTTTATGTTCCACTCTCTGGTCTACAACATGTTGCTATTCTGCCTCCTATACCATCCTCCAAGTCCATTTTTAGCCACCATTCTGCCTCCTATTTCTTCACACAAGTCCTATGACCAGTTAATGCTCTGCACCTTCTCCAAATGGTCTACATGTAATAAAAGTTAAGTATGAGCTCAGAAAAACAAAAACTGCTATTCTAATACTAATAACAGACTGCATATATGTCATGTTTTTGCACACTTTTACATGAGGGTGAAAGGACAGTAAAATACTTGTAGCCCCTACCACCTTTTGTGGAGTGGCTACTAGAAATGTAGTGTTGCCAGAGCTGTAGTCAGTCTGGCTGAATTATAGTTGGCATTTATCTGGTTAATTACTGGTGTTCTTACATTGATTGTACCTGCCTGAGTGGGGTGTGACCAGGGCCGGATTTACTCTCCCTGCTGCCCCAAGGCTAGGTTCCGCAATGCGCCCCCCTCCCCACCAACCCCCCCCACCCATCAATGGATAATGGCAACCGGATGGCAGGGGCGGCAGGGTTAGTTTTAATTGTGTTTATTGTTTCTTTCTGTAACATTTTTTATCACTTTTTTATTTTTATTAGTTTTTTACTTTTTTACATTTTTTTTCATCTTATCGTTTACTTTTTTACATTTTTTTTAATCTTATTGTTTATTTATTTTTTTATAATTATTTTCTTCTTCTTTTTTTTTAAAATGATTATTTTCTTATATAATTATTTTCTTATTATTTTTTATTTATTTATTTAAATAATTTTTTTATTATTTTTTACTTTTTAATCACCTTTTAATTTAATTATTATTTCTTATTATTTTTTACTTTTTACTTTTTATTTATTTAATTATTTTTTTATCAATTGATTTTTTTTCCACTTAACTTTATCGCTATCACACAGGATCTAACAAGCCCCTGTGTGATAGCATTTGGAGGTGACAGGCTTACACGGAGTGGCAGGGTTTTAACCCTGCATCGCGGCCAGTAGGGATAGAGACTCGGTGGTGGAGGAAGGATGGAGCCGGGAGGATGGAGCTAGCGAGGAGAGAGGTAGGTGCGGGGGGGGGCGGACGGACAGGCTGCAGTGTTATTACAAGTGATTTTGGAGACATTGCCAAGATCACTTGTAAACAAACAAGCGTCTTCCTCACACTACATTTAGCCCTGCTTGGGCTAAAGGTAGAAAACTATTTACCGTCCGCCGCCCAGAACTGAATGTTCCAGGCATCAGGGGATTGATTCCACACTGCTGCCGCCCCTCTGCTCCCTGCCGCCCCTAGGCCGGGCCTCGGTGGCCCTGTGGCTTATCCGGCCCTGGGTGTGACCCTGCTGCAGTGTGGGATGGCCAATGGGGGAACATTATGAGCGTGTGTGTGGTTCACCAGCCAATCACTGGTGGTTTCATGGCCAGTGGTGAATGCTGGGGAAGGGCATATATACTCAGAGATTTCCATGTGCTCAGTCTAGTTCCAGCCTGGTTGGAGTTCCAGTCTGCCCCCAGACTTAGGCCTGTGGAAATGCTTGAGTGGGGAAAATGTTCACTAGGCCTCAAGCCTGGAGGATGTTTCTGTTGCGGATTATGGAGAAGAACCAGGGAAGCTGATGGCTGCTTGAGATGCCTGGGATAGAATGGACCTCAGGAGTAAGCCTTTTGTCTCCTCTACTGAAGATTCCATACCTATCCTTGCTCAATTGTTGCTCAGATACCCAAAGTCAGCTTGTGCTCCTGTTGATTTTGCACTGGAATACTGAAAGGGACTGAGTCTTGAGTCTGTTTACTGTGCCTTGGATGTCCAAAGCACTAAACCCTCTCTCCCAGTTTAAATGTTCTAATAAAGTTAATCAGCATCATTCTTCTGGCTTGGATTTTGGCTCTGTCGGTCACTATAGGAGGGTGGTTAAGGCTATTGGGGCAGCTGGTTGCCAAAATCCCCTAGACAGGCTATGGATGACCCGTATATTCCAGCAGCTCCTTCGGGGCTGAGCACTACATGCTCACTGTGTATCCTCTTCCCTGACTCTCCAGATCACCTTCTTCTTCTCCCAGGTGCTGCCATATTAACAGCAACACATATTTCTACTTTGATACACAAGACTAGAAAAATGGGAACTGTGCTCCATCCCTCCCAGTACCTGCTCAGCTGCCCAGCAAACTGACTATGAGCAATACAAAACAAAACAAAACCACTTAATTTCCAGGGATATGGAGCCATGACTTGCTGTTACAGGTGTGGGCTTTTTATGGATAGCTAAATAGAAACTAGTCTTAAACTTCTAATTTGGTGTTTGTGTCTTGTTCTTTTATGTATAATAGCTAAATGATGAGGAGCTAAACAGTCATGCAACCTTACTATCTATGTAACAAAATTTTGGTTTAATATATTTTTTATTGTTTTGTTTCCATAAAAGTACATTTATATAAACATTCATAAACATTAGTTTCACATTATCTCTTAGTTTTAATAATTATTTATAGCTCTAATTGAGATAACTACAACTTTCACCCACTTCCAATATCCACCACTAATCATCCATCATATTTTACTTCCTCTATCACTCTCTTCTCCATTCTAACTCCCGTTCTTATGGTTTCTAAGGGGGGGTGGAGGGGGGGAGTGGGAAAGAGGGGGAAAGAGAGTGTACCCATCCCTTATACTTCATTTAGAATACCCCTCTAGTATTTGTGTCTTCTATAACCCATAATATATATGTGGACCTTACTGTATCCCCTTATATTGTCCACGTTCCTCTATTCATATTATTATTTCCCTCATGTGTTCACTAGTGTGATAGCTAAACAATATACAATCAATAATAAACCCTTTTATTACAAACTTAAACCTTATTCCTTCCTCCCCACTGTCCTTATTTATAGTGATCCTACTTTTATTGTGTGTCCTAACTACTATTTAATTATCTACTTTCCTATACCCTATGTGTACTGCCTTCCCCTTCTACTTCTTCTATATATACCTCGTGTCCTCACTTCTTAATCCCGTCTTCCCATTTCCCCTCCTCTCCATAGAACCATCTTCATTCCTTTCCGTCTTTCATTCATACGGGTCATATAATATATTTGTCTAAATAATTTTATAATCATATATTTCTTTATTCCTATTTGACCATACATGCATTACCCCTTAATCCTTTTTCAATTACTGCCTTTAACCTTCTTTCAGCATTTTCTCAAATTCCTCCGATTGTCTAAATGATTCCCATTTCTCCCGTATCTTCTTATAACTATCATTCCTATCTGTATCCTTTGCACTTATGGAAGAACTAAGTGCAAACTATCTATGTAACAATATGCAAAGGTGCAAAACTGAAATATTGTTTGAATACCACTTGTATCTTATATAGGACATACAAGTCTATTCAAGTTTTAATTCAACACCCAAAACATAAATTGTCACTGATTCAGAGTATAAAGACACCACATCCCCCAAGGTTCAACATACAACATAAAAAGGTAGAATTTTAAGATGTTAGAAAATGAAGAAAATACAAAAGTACACGCTATTATAATATCACTTCTGATATAAGAAGAATATGTTACAGGTTGAGTCAGAAAACATTTATGTTTCCACATATCATAGAATTTCTTTATATCTTATATTGAAAACCATCTGTGTGCCCAGATTGTGAGATAAGGGAACACTTGTGTCACGTATTTCACAGAACTCAGTCTACTTCTTCAGACAACATAAGTATGGTATCTGGTCAGATTGTAAAATAAGGGCATACTTGTGCAAGGCATTTCATAGAACTTAGTCTACTTCTTCAGACAAGATCAGGATCGCATTACACAGTATATGGGAAGGCCTGAATCAAGGTATCAAGTATGCATAACATTGGTGCCTCCATGGAACTGTAGGTACTATCCTGACTAAAGGGCCCCAACAGAGAGAAGGACAAGATATATTGATATGGGCAGAGGGAATAATGAAAAGTTAAGGAGATATCCAGAGGAATCACTCCCAATGGCCACCCAGAGTTCAGAATCCAATGCTCTGCAATATGCAGGGGTGCTGGAGAGGGAACGCAGGGCACCATCTCTGCTGGCTGGCTGGCTGGGAGTCTCAATTCTGGGTGATGGGCCATTTGTGATCACTGTGATCAGTCCTGCACTAATTAGAGTGATGACATTGGCATGAGGAGACCAGTCAGCTGCATGAAGTGTGATTGCAGCTGACCAGTCACCCTTCCCAGAGCTGATGGCTCAGAACATACTGGAGTGTGGAAGGAGGTAAGTATAGCTGGGTCTAAAATCTTTATTAAAAAACAAAATTGGCTAGGATCAGTCAAAGTGCTAAACATTAATGTTTATTCCCTAGCCAGCATTCAGCGTTAAAAGGATAATTTGAAGCAACAGTGAATGCATTATTACATTACTGTTCTTTCTGGGGGAAACACAGCAATAACAAGCACACCAACTCTGATCTACTGTATACCCATTTGCTGACTCAATACGAATGTGATTGTAATAATTCCATTCTTACAATCTCATATTTACATTAAAAGGCAGAAGGGTTAACACTGTGGTTTGTCTAAATCAGAACATAATTGTAATAATCCCATTGGTGAAGCATTCAGACCACCTGCTTTACATAACACACATGCTAACATGGCTGCCATTAAGCATATGAGAAAAGCACCATAACACCATGAAGAAAAAGCTGTTTGGTCAGCATTAAAATAAGTGTTAAAGCCCTCGAGGTGTGAAAGGGTGGTTGGGTAAACTTTCTAACCTGCTTGGTGTACTTGTATAATCACCTGACTTCTTCTCGACCAATTGCTTCCAAGAGCTTGGTTATCTCCCCTGGAAAATCTGGCAGCACGACTGAGAATTTGCAGACTCTATTATCTAGAACAAGAGCTCTGTCCAGACAGTGACGTAGCAAAGACAATGGCAGGTTCCCGCTGCACACAACCACCGCCACTCTGTAGAGAAAAGGTGATTTGCATATTATTAATTTCAAAGCAAATATAAAAGGTACACAACAGAAAGTTCTCATTTTAAAGAATCAGTCAAATGAAAAGGGCTCAATCACCCATTCTCCCATCGGGGGCTTCCAAGGTGACACCTTCCTGTTGTATCTTTAAGGCCTGTCACTACTTCTTTTCCAAGCAATATAAAAAATCATAAATTTAAATTAAAAAAAAAACAGCAGAGAGAGAGATAGACCCCACTCATGTTGGAAATGGCAGGGAGGCAAAGCTGACAACTCAGTAGTAGAGATCTTACCACTGAAAACCCTGAAGCATAGAATATAAGAAGAATGTTTTAGTGCATTGACATCCTCCAACCACAGAAATATTAGTTTTGGGTGAACTTACTTTTTAATATCTAGAAAATCTCTATTTTCATTGTTTATGCAGCAAATCCAGCTATCCAGAATTATTACCATGAATAATGTGTATGTATTAGGGCAGTAATCTAGAGCAGAGGAAGTATGGTGTGGTCTTCAAGAACTTGTTGAGCTAATTCAATAAAACAATGGATAGAGCATGTTGAAGTAATCCACAACACAACAATTATGGCTGAGTTTACAGCAGTCAGCTAAACAAAGATGATATAGGATTGATTCTTGCTACGGGGTGTTGTGTCACCTTTTGTCTGTACTGTGGTTTTCAATAAAATACCACTGACTTGCTTTGGAAGATCCCCCTATCCCAGCAACTCAGCCTGTATAGTGATTGGTGTACTGGTTGAAAGAAACCCTCTGGACACAACACAGAATGTCAAATAATGAGATAAAGATTGTGGTGAAGGCACAGTGGGTATGTAAAATTGATGATCCCTGCTGAATCACATTGTCAAACTTTTATAATGTTAATTAGCCTAAAATTTTGCTTTATCAACATTTAAAAGTTTGGGAATGCAGGCATAGTGGTTAAAAGAAAGCCTCTGGACACAACAGAGAATGTCAAGTAATGAGATAAAGATTGGGGTGCAGGCATAGTGGTTGAAAGAAAGCCTCTGGACACAACACAGGAGGTCTAGTAATGAGATAAAGATTGGGGTGCAGGCATAGTGGTTGAAAGAAAGCCTCTGGACACTAGACATGCAAATTTCGTTTCGTTGTAAATGGATTTTCATACGAATTTCCTAAAATTCGGACATTCGGATGCATCCATATTTCCAAATTCTAATGCCCCTGAATGCAAAAGAATCCGAAAGCTTGATTAATGAAAATTCGGATACGTCATTCAAAATGAAGCTAAATCAGACATGTGACTGTTCTCTGGCCAATCAGATGGTTTTATTTTGCTGTTGGAGGTTGCATTACAGGCATGAAACAAACATGTGGACGGATCTGAAATCCAAATCACGAACCAAAATACATTTTGCATCCGAAATCAGAAAAACAAATGTAATACAAATCTGAATGGATCCGAAACTAAACGAAACAAAAAAGTTTTGAGGTTACATGTCTACTGGACACAGCATTGAAGGTCAAGTAATGAGATAGAAGTTGCGGGGCAGGGTTTGTGTCAGTATAGTTGGAAATAATGGGCTGGTACAAGCTCTGGCCCACTTTGTCTTCATCTCAGCTCCCACCCTTTCACTGCAATATCTGTTGAATATGTTTTAAGCCTGTGTCGCACCCCCTGTAAAGGCATCTGTGGAAATGGAGGGTAACTTCTTAACCAGTTCAGCTGTAATACGCTACAATTTTCAGTACATGGGTAGTTATTTAGAACACAATCAGTATACACAAAAGGTATAGTTTATGCTTCAAGTGTCAAGATTTATCACATGTAGATACCTTTTCCCTTTCAGGTCTGGTAATGCTCCAGATATTAGAGCAGCAAGTCCCATGGCACCTTCTGCGTCCACTGTAGCCCTCTCACATTCTAGTAACCTCAGCATTGACAGCAGTACATCTTCCTCACTGGAATGAAATACAGTGACTTAGTATCACAGGGCCATTCACATGTAGCAGTAAAACCCAGGTCAATGTGTAAACAAACCTATGGAAGGGCCAGAGAATGAGGTTGCCACCAGTCTTTTGTCAGCTAGTCCTCTTAGTCTACACAGATTCGACTAAAGCTATCTACAGTTCTACACATGTATAATCTTATTAGACTGGGGGATATTGAAATCCTTTTTAGATTTACCAATAACTGTGTTGTGATAGGGCCTTTCTTAACAATGTATTCAATTTATATCCAGTCAGATATGCTCTTACACTACATAGTTTTTGTGAAGTCTAAATGACAATCAGATTGTAAAGTGTGTGGTCAGCTGTCATCAGTTGACTAAAATCTCCTTTTGTTTTTTTATGAGCATTGATAAATATGAGCTGTAATCAGAATCCGGAATCGTCTTTTATTAGTATGAACTAACGCCACCTTGTAGTGGAGCTCCATACTCCTCTCAAAACCCCTAGCTGAAGTAACTATTTTTTTTGCTCATCATATTTGTAACAGTTTTGAGTATGGGGAAGCTGTGTCCTAGCACAATAGATTAGTGTTCATAATTGGAGCTTTACTGATGTATTTAACACATTACTGGTAACATTTAAACTACGCCCATTGTTTTAGATGATAAGGTTAGGAAATAGGTTAAGGTTAGTGTAAGGGTGAAGGAAAGTGTAAGGGTTACATTAGAAGGTTAGGCCTAGGTTTTAGGGGGTTATGTATAAGAGGTTATTATACAGTATTATTATTGTTAATGTACAGGGTTTATATAGTGCCAACAGTTTGTGCAATGCTTTACAATAGAAGGAAGACATTACAGTTACAATACAGTTCGAGACAAGATGGTTAGGAGGGCCCTGCCCATGAGAGCTTACAATCTAAAAGGGTGGTGCTAGTGATACAAAAGGTGTGTGGAAATGAGTTGTTTGGGAGAGTAATAGTTCAGCGGTTAGGTTGAGGCAGGGATATGCTTCCCTGAAGAGCTGAGCCTTCAGAGATTCCCTAAAGGTAGACAGAGTAGGAGACAGCCGGACAGGTTGAGGGTAAGGAGTTCCAAAGGATGGGAGAGACTCTAGAGAAATCCTGGAGGCAAGGCCAATGAGGGGGGAGTTGCAGTAGAGATAACGAGTGGATGAGTAGCTTTGAGGTTTCATTGGTGAAGAACGGGCATATTTTGGAGATATTACGAAGGTGAAGGCGGCAGGATTTGGATAGTTATTGGATGTGGGGAAGAAAGGTGAGGTCAGAGTCCAGGATCACGCCTAGCACCTTGGCATGGGGGGAGGGAAGGATAGTTGTGTTGTCAATCTCAAGGGAAAAGTTGGGGGAAGGTTGCGTTTTAGGGAAAATATTAGGGTACACCTAAAGTTAACCCTTTAAATCACTAACCTAATCTAACCTAGAATTCCTGGAGCCTGGTGATTAGTTACCTCTCTACAACAGTGGTGACCTACTATAGTGTTTACAATCTCAGGCCCAAAGTCTTCTCCAGCTCTGGCCCCCCTTCAGTTGGGTCATACTCTAACAACGCGCTAGGAACGCCGGAAAATATTTTGGGATGCAGGATGAAAACATCACAGTTCTCCCTCCATCACGGACAGGTAAATAACTCCATTCAGTAATGAATACTCCATTAAAAGATAAAATTTCTAAAATAGCTTTTGCTGCACTTTTCATCTTCAGTTTAGAGATTTCATCCCGCAGTACTTCTCCCACTAAATGTCCTCAGTCTGATGGCCAGCATAATTCAACCAACTTCCTCAGAGCCCAGGTCATCCTGGACCCACTCCAACCTGTGACTGGGCAGTGAAAGGAGAAGCAGGACAGTGATGAGCTAATTTCTCTGTCACTCTGCTCTCTCCTCCTATCAGCATGCTTTTGGTCAGCTTATGAACTAATTAGTTCCTTGTACTACTTCCAGTCACACTCCAGCCCTACTGTACAGGGACTGCGAGAGGCCAATACCAGGTCATTTTGAGGTAGTCACACTGCTTACTTTAAAAAATAAATGTAATTATGTATTAAAAGACATCCCAATTCTCCCGGATGTTCCGGGAGTCCCCCGCTATTAGATAGCGGCACCCAACCGCCCGGGAGAGAAACATCTCCCGGAAAAAGGTTTACTCTGCTCGATCTAGTAGAGTAAATCTTTCCCTGCAACCTGTTTTTTTTTCTGACATCGGGGCCGCCAGCCGCCGTCAGTCAGAGAAAAAAAAAAAACAGCATAGGAATGCATAGCTGGATTGCTATTGGCTATTTCACTTTGCAATAGCCAATAGCAGACTAGTTATTGCACTCGTCCTCTGCTGCTGTCAATCAGCAGAGAGGGACCTGAAGTTCTCCAGTAGAGTTTGAAAAATACATTTCATAGTTTGTTAGTGTAGCGCCCTCTAAAATGTCGCTATTCAATTTAGAGATACCTGGACTGTAACCAGTCCAGATACTGATTATACAGAGCTCTGCACTCTATAGATGTCCCTGAATCTGCTGGATCGATTGCTCCTCCTGTTGCTGAGGAATAGGGAGCCTTGGCATACAGTGAGGGAGGATCCACCCTCAGGTTATGACTATGCACCTGGCCCTAGCCTATCCCTGAGTAGGATGACTCAGAGGCATGGTTGAGGGCAGGTAATAAAAGGTCTGGGGACACTGTGGAGAGCTCTCTTCCCCCTAGAGGCCTCGCCCTAGGAGGACTGTGTGTGATGCAGGAAACTGGCCTGGGCCTCAGCACATGGCAGGTGCTGAGGGACCTAGAGGCCTAGGATACACTGATACTTTGCTGGGCCCATGCATGTGGCAGGTGATGGGTGCCTTGTTCTAAGAAGATACGACCACTAAACTGGAGTGCTCCTTGGCAGTTGCAGATGCTGAGGGCACAGAGATTCCAGATCCTGTTGCTAAGGAAAATACCTGAGGGAAGCTGGGTCGGGGAGGAGTCCGCTTGTTGAGGGGTACCGCAGAGGAGCTGGTGCCAGCGTCCGTCTGGGACCCACAAGGGAGATCCCACACCCTATTCCAGGTATCGGTTCACAGTACTACTACTACCACTATTGGTCCCTGGGACCAGATCGCAGTGATTTCGGCCTTAGCGGTTGCTAGGGGAGAAAGCTGTCCTCAGAAGATTCCAATGGCATCCTACAGACCCTAAACCCTCTCTCTCCTATTGATGTTGCAAATAAATACCCTAAAAAGACCCTAAGACTCGAGCCGTTTTGTCCGTGAGTGTCGGTATGCTGTTGCTGATCAAAGGGGACCGGTAGCTGGAACCAACAGGTAGGAGAACCTATTTCAATATTCAGCGGCTCCTTCGGGGGTGAGCGCTACATTACCAAACTCGTAACTGCATTCAACTGGAATTTAGTGTATAGGTTTAGGGTCTGGTGAGGAGGGTTAGGTTTGGCCTAAGGATTAGGGTAAGTGTTCAAGATATGTTGGGCAGTGTTTTTTAAGTTAAAAGAAAAACAAACCAAACATTACCATTACCAGGTTCTCAGCACTAAAACATACTTAAAAGTATATAGCATATGGCATGCATGGTTGATCTACTGACCCAAGATTTTAGGATAGATAATGCTTTGATCGCAATCGTATGTCTCAACAGGAAGAGCTGCTACTGGCAGAAGGGTTGGCATACACTTTATTATTTTAAAATGTAAATACTGGGTATAGAAATTTGCATAACGCCACAGAAGTACTCACCTCACTGAGATAATGTGGTCTATAAGCTTCTTGGTTAATTTTATTGTATTGACACCAAAAGAAGGCCCACCCAGTTCTTTAAAAGAGAGAAATGAGAAATCAGTTTACGTGATTCACTCAGAAACAATCATCTATTAATCACCTCTTTTTACACAAACAGCAAAGAATGTCTTCAATTATTTGATAGTTGTTTCTATCCATTTTACACTATGTTGCTGTAATGCTCTTCTGAGTGTCTTCCTTCAATGGTAGAAAGCAAAGTTTCCACCTACATATTCATTAGCATGAATTTCATAGACTGCTAAAACAGTGAGGGCTCATTTACACTAGCTGAATGTTAAAACACAACGTTTACCATGTGGGTAGTGTCAGGCTACATGGCAGCAGTGAGCTGCAGTGCCTTGAATTGTTACAACACAAGGCACTCTTTGCTTTTCTTAACTTTATTTGGAGTGTACAAAGTGTACACTTCATTAATTGTTTGCGCACGTTAGCACTTTATATTGCCCTTTGGTCAGGTGACCTCCGGTGGCATCCAATGCCCTGTGGAAAATGCGGTATGTCTGCATTTTACCACAGTCTACTGGACATCACACCCACATAGTGCTGTGAACAGGGCACATAGAAAACAATAGTTTTTTAGCAGTGACTGGCATTAGTCCGTGCGGAAAAATGCCACATAATGGGGGACGCCTCAGGGAGCCCACAAACTCATTGGAGTTCTTGTTAAAAACAACTGGGTTACATGGATGGTCAATGTACAGTATATCCTGCTTTATCTCTGTTAAGCAACAATCATAAAACTCATTGTACATTGAAGACCAGTAGGAATCAGATGTGGGATTCATCTATCAGTATAATATCCTACATTCCACACCAAAGATGAGTGGCCATTAAGGAAGGGAGATTCCGGGGATGAGGGGAGCCCTCCTGTATAATCCTATCTTTTTTTATGGACATAGTTTTTAATAGGACACTTCAGCTCTAGGAGCTCCATTCATATTGACATAGGACACCTACAGAACCGTATCTCTCAAGAGCCCCTTTCATATACACAGTGGTTGGAAGGTTCTTGGGGTCAAGGCACTGTGGGACAGAGAGGGTTGTGAATAGGCATAGTTCTGTAGTCCAGCTGATAAGGCTGGCAATCACTGTGTTGTAAGCCCAAACAGAAGGTTAGGAGCACACTTGATTTCTGAGAGATCAACAGGTATTTTTTTGTACCTGTAGCATTTTAAAGGGATTAAAAAATGGGCAAATGTGCTTTTCTTGCAGATAAAGCACCCATGGATAGGCCAGCACCCAGAATGCACATTTGCACACATGTAAGTAATCCTACTTCACCCTGCTTTTAGTGAAAACAACCAAACAGTGTGTGCAGTCACCTAGGTCTCAGTATAATGGAATATTAGATAGTAGGTCTCACTTGGTGGGTCATGACTGCAACATGATGGTTAAAGTGCAAGCACGGCATACTACAATGCAAAATTATGTTTCAAATCAGAGGTAATCCAACATGTCTTTATATTACTGTCACTCTAAAACCTTCTGAAATATCATTAGTCTTTACACATTTAATAAAGACAAATTTAAGGTTGGTATAATGTCATACAGAATTTCTCCTTCCTTTTTCCTGTAGCATAACTATCTAGGGAGCTGCTGGACAGATGGGTACATCTGCTGTCCACTTTGAACGGAACTCAGATCCCACAAACAGACCAGTAAGGTAAAGTGGACTTTACTTTAAAAAAGGAAGAAAGCCCTGAAATGGAAGTTTAATTTAAACAATTGCAACAATAACAGAAATAAACTGACACTATACACTGACACAAGCAATATTGATTCAAAAATCAGTAAAAATACAATAAAACAAGTCATTTTAAAGGAGAAGACTATGGGGGGCAACAATCAGTATGGCCCTAACTAAACCAATGTCCAGTGAAAAACTGATAAAAAACTTGTTGGTGGTGGGGCCCTTAACTTTTGTAGGAGTGCTTGCTCTCAAAGGGAGAGTATTTGTAATCCACTATAATGGAGTGGGTGTAGCAGTCTTCTTAGATTAACTCTTCTGGCAGCAGTTTAATCCCCACAAACGTAAAAAGATAGAACTGTAAAAGATTGGCAAGAGGTATTTTACCACCGCTGTTGGACAAGTGTCCTGAGGTCAGCAGTCAGTTCACAAATCCTCCCTGGCAGTCAGATGAGAGGTCATGCCACACTAAGGGGCTCCCCTCTTAAGCCTGTGCTTGCTCCTTCTATGGAGTCCTTAGCACAAGTTCCCAGCAAGCTTTCTGGGGTTTTCTTCTTAGTCTCTCCAGGCTCCATACACTGCAAATCTTTTTCCTTACAGACATCTTGCTCTTTAAACAGCTCACAGCAGCACCTCCAATATCACTCTTCCTCCTCTCCCCTGGAATTTCCTGTTTCTGCCTTCTCGCCTCCCTTCTCCTGGCAAACTTTCCATTCAGGCCCAGGGAAGTAGAGGTAAGCTGTAACTGTGAATTAAAGGGGCCACCAGCCAGGGCACACTCCCCTGTCCTAATGGCAGAGCTTTATCAGACTTTAGATGGCTGTTATTACCTCTAATAGTCAAGAAAGCTTCTTCTCTGAAGCTTTCTGATTCAGTTTCAATGTATTGCTTGGTCCTAACTTTCCCTTACTTAATGGATAAGCCCTGGTCACTCTCATTCCATTGGCCAATGAGACTGCCTCAGTAGCTATAATGACAACCTCTTTGAACAGGGTAATGGACGTTTTCCTGACATCAGGAAATTTAAGGACCACCTAACAAAGTGAAGCTGCAGCACAGAGGGGCACATGCGTGGCTTTTCTACCCTACAACGCTAATAGCTGGCTTCTTGCTGTGTCTGCTTTTACACTGTATTTTTACTTTAGATAGTTTTACATTTTGTGCCGGTTCACTTTAAAATCTGTTTAAACCTAACAACATTTTCTGTCACTGTAACCATACCCTGTTCCCAGAAATGAAAGTTTTTCCATCCGCCTTGTACTGTACAATATTATCTCTTATGTATATTGCTTTGGGCGTATCTAGCCAGGGTCAGGATAAAAAGCAAACATATGTAGCTGAGCTCAAGGAGAACACCCTCTACCATATATGGGTTCTTTTCTGCACTAAAATTAGATTTCATAGCTTTTATTTCACAAAGCATTGTCTTTGTTGTCTCAGCAAGAAATATGAAAGGGATTAGAAATCAGCACAGCACAGATATAGACATGCTATGCTTTTCTATTACATGAGCACAGCATCAATTAAAGTTAGGTTAAACTTTTAAGCTATGAGTGGAAGTTTATTCTGACAAGCAGATTTGTCTTTCACACACTTACAGAAACAATTTAAATTTTCCTATCTACAAAGAAGCTTAAAAGCATCATAAGGTACATAACTAGTGTCACACCTACACTATATGGCCAAAATGTATTTGACTAGCCCTTCAAGTAAGTTTGAGTGTTTCCAGTAAAGCATCTAATAATGCTATAGCATACAAGATATTTTAGACAATTCTGTGCTTCCAACCTTATGGCAACAGTATGGGGAAGGCTCTTTTCTGTTCCATTATGGCTGCACATAGCCAACTCTGTAAAGGCATGATTTGAGGAGTCTGGTGTGGAGGAACTTGGGTAGCTTGCACAGTTCCCTGACCTCTATTTAAACACTTTAGGAATGAGTTGGAATACAGATTGCGAGTCAAGACTTTTTGTCCAATATCAGTACCTAACCTCACAAATGTTCTTTTGGGTGAATAAGTACATATGACCACAGAAATACTTTAACAACTTGTGGAAATCTATCCTTGAAGAGTGCATGCTTTTAAATCCTCAAAGAGGGAGCCAACTCAATATTAATGCCCAAGGTTTTGGAATTGGAAATCCACTAAGCTCCCATAGGTGTGTATTCACAAATATTTAGCCATGCAGTGTATAAATTACTACAGTATCGTGCCAGTGAATCAGTTAATAATATCCCACCCCGGGATCACCGTTCTCCTAACAAGGAAGGCTGCTTTTTCTACCCAGATTTTACAACCATTGTACTAGTTAGTAACTGACCACAAATAAACGTATCCATTTATTATGTGCCACCCACCTAATTTTTTATACATAGCAAGTCTTGATCTTTACACCTTGATCACAGATTAATTATTACAATTCTACACAATTGAAGAAACGAATCAGATTCCAATTATCATTCGATGGAAACCGATCTGAAAAAATAGGGATAGAATCTGACCCTAGTTTTCCTTCTTGTACCTTTTCAGAATCCACCTGTTAGTGAAATAGAGGTTCTAATATATAAGGGCCAGATGCAGTGAATAGTGCAACACAGCCTCCTACCTCCATACAAAGGATGAGTAAGATAGTCATGCTCAGTCAAGCAGCGTCCAGCTTTTAATGCCTGTTGTACTATAGGGAACTTCTCACTTTCCACACCCTGAAAATAAAAGAGTAAGACAATGATGATGTTAAAATTCGGTAGGCGTAACAGTCTAGCTTCTCTAACCCCTGACACAAAGGGGGGTGATTTATAAACCATTTGCATAGTAAACAAGGTTTGCAGCATATTATGGCCACTAAGTGAAGCCGAAGAGCATAGGAATTTATGGCCATAATACAATGTGATCTTATTGCTGTACGCTATGTGAGCAGTTTATAAATCACCCCCAAAGGGTAACCTGGACTACACAATTCTCCATTATTATCGGGGTCAGTCCACCAATAATTGATTCTAGTTTGGTAGATGCTGGTGAGCGATATCACTCCCTGGCTTCCTTGGTCTCTTGGAAACTCTGGTGGTAATATCTCTATGCCTAGAGTTCCCAGCTCTACCTGTCAGTGTTTGCTGTTACAAATAATTTCACTCTCCCTGTTAGTTTTTCATTTTGTAATATGGAGGCGGCATAAGACGAAGTGATATTTCCCCTTCTTCAGTTCTGGCAAGACAGCTGGAAACTCTTCCGGGGTGAACTTTTCTTGCAAGTCTCCAAGAGAAAAAATTATTGGATAGAGTATTCACTTTACCAAATCTAGAGAATGAACAAGAATTCCGTTTGTTTCGAGCAGCACTTCCACTTTTGTAACCATTAGTCCCAAATGGTCAACATTTACGTCTGAGATGGATCTACAAGTCTGCATTTACTGCCCTTCCAAAGAAACTTCTTCCAGTAGTAAAAACTGCAGTGCACAGCAACTTTCATGACCAGCACAGAATGATTGAAGTTATATTTTTTCTTAATGTTCATGTGTTTAGGTGCTTACATTTTAAAGAGTGCGATAATGTAACTTACAATAACTGTGATTTTTGGATTTAGATGTTTTAGGGCAGCTGCTGATCCGGCCAGTAACCCACAATGTCCACCTGCTGGAAATATGACTGCATCCAAACTGGGCACTTGTTCATATATCTCCAGCCCAACCGTTCCCAGGCCAGCAAGATATCCAGCACTGTCTTCTCTAATCAGAAAATAACAATGTATCAGATTGGGGAAATTATTAGATACAGCACATGCAGTAATCAGATAAATCAAAGAGTAAAGCTGGCCATACATGAAAAGATTTCTTTTGTTCAACCTGCAGAAATCTAACAGATTTCTCCATCCACACTAAATAGCATGGATGGATAAATTCCCGACTGCTACCGAACAATGAATGCACGTGATAGGCCGATTTTTGGCCCGGCTCCAGCTCAGTCGACTTTTGTCTAGGCAGTGTAACACACTGTTATACAGAAATCGGACCAAACACTAACAGTGTACACCCAGCTTATCATGTACAGTTATGTATATGAAAGTATTTTTTTTTTTAGTCCTTCCACTATATAGATCACCAGTGATGTACATTCTTATCTGTACATCATTCCATTAGAGTTATATAAAAGTATAATCTTTATTCAAATTCCATTTAAAACATTTTATTAAAATTCTTTTTTATTTGCTTTACATGCAATCATAACTTTTTAGAGGAAGGACACAGTCACTATTTTATTGATTTTCCTTCTCCCACACATTTATTTATCTGTCTGCAATATTACTTTCTTTCCTATCCAACTTGTTATTCCATACTTATGCTTGCTCTCCCTAACTAATCTTATGAATCCCTAAAACCCACATCCAACTTTGACTTTAAACAGACTTCATCAGGGGTTAAATTCAAATATAATAAATCATAACATCAGTGCTAAAACTGCAAACAATAGGCTTACAATACGTGCGACCATGGGTTCTGGAAAGGGGCTTGGAAAAAGATTCAGTGTTTGTCAATATGTAAAGAGGTAAACATGATTTTTTTGGGAGCACAGTAAGAATAAAAATGTGAAAGTTCAGGTAATGGAGTAAATCTATAAAGAAACATTAAACAATCAGGACAATGAGGATTTTATAGTATTTGCAAGTGTTATATGTGCCCCATTAGGGGAGACCTCTTGTCTGGAGACCCACTGCCACTGGGACTGAAAATTATGGAAATGCTCACGAGTGGGGATCAAGTTTCATCTTAAAGTTGTTGAGTTGTAGACTTTCAGACATGGAAAACAAATACATTTGTACAGTATGTATAGAGTTTTGAGAACATCTCTATCTAAGCACTAAACATGCTGTAAAGTAAGAGAAGAGATGGAGATGAAGGTGGTATATTTGGATCTTCCAGTAACACAGTAACATAGTATTTGAGGTTGAATAAAGACATAAGTCCATCAAGTCCAAGTGTTGTTGGTTTTAATGTATTTTGAACTTATTTCAAGTTAAAGCCCATTTTGGGGTCTTTGTTGCCTCTCTTTGTGCAGCTAAATTAATTAAGTAAATGTTTGAGATGATAGGCTCAGATGTCATTTAGCATCATGGAACTTAACTGTGACACTAAACCCTTCCTTAAGCTGGCCATACAATGGTGGACTTTTGTCAAACGGAGGGCCCCACACAGGGCCCCACACACAGGGTTGCTGACAGGGCCCCACACTGCTCATATTCGAACAGTGTATTACCAGCTTTAATCTGAACACTTTACAGTAGCCATTTGCATAGGGACTTTGGGGTGGAGTTTAGCTAGTACGTGTAGTGGGGTATAATCAAATCAGTATGCTAGTAAAGACAAGTCTATATAAAACTCTGTTAAACTCATTAAGGGGAATTTATCAAAACTGGAGCAGACAAAATCTGGAGCAAATGTGCATGGCAACCAATCAGCCTCTCCCTTTCATTTTCAAATCTTAACTGAACAAACTTGATTGGTTGCCATGCACATCTGCTCCAGTTTTGATACATTCCTCCCATTAACTTTCTGCTGTTCTCCCCTCTGTTCTTCTATGTTTGTTTGTTTTTGCAAAAATGGCCTTTACAGACCATTAATAACTAGTTGAAATTCAAACGTACTCTTCTATATACAGGTAGCCATTCTCTTGTGCTAGTCTCCTGGCATGGCTCTGAGCATCTCTTGCTGTGGGTCCAAAAAGGATAACCATAGCTCCGTAATCTCGGCATATCCTGACCCGGTTTGGAGATGTTCCAGCTGCCATAATAATAAACACTGGGATTTGTAGCTGTGCTGCATGGAAAGCCACGGCCATGGCAAAATTACTGTCTGCAGCTACAATGACGCCTTTCCTTTGCTGATCCTGTGGGGGAAGAGAAAGGTAGAACAGATGACTAGCAAGTAAAACATATTTTGTACAGGATTGTAAAAGAAATGGAAGAGCTGACCTAAAAACATAATGTAACAAAAGCCATCACAATTCAAAGTGATATTCAAGCCAAACTGGTTTATCAAACAAAATCCACAGTCCACATTGCACTATTTTTCTGCTGAGATAATTTGCGGTATTTTCATAAATATTAATATCCTATTGCTACACATTTTAGAAATGTACAAGTAAAAAACAGTCAATAGAACAAAAAACAATATCATTATTATTGTGTGTGTATATATATATAGGCAACATTTCCTTGTAGGTTATTGTCACAAAATTATAAGCCAAATTAGACCCATCAGAAGAAGCAAATGTTGATCCTAGCACAGGGGCATTGCTTAGGATACCAACAATGTGATGTCTATGGGTATTAGTGATGAAAACCTGGCTCTGACTGCAGTTTTAACATGTTTTTTACCCAAATAAACATGCCTAAAAGCATAACTTCATCTTTTAGAAAAAAGATTTAAAAAAATAAAATGCACACCCAATGTAATTTACCCCCCTTTCTTTGAGCAAAGGTTGTTATGGGCAAACCTCAAGGAGTTGCATCATCATGTCCACCTAGGTTCATGCTACAATGTTGCAGTATTTATGACTACCAATTGTCGGAGAAGAAAAAAAGAATAAAAGGGCCATATGCTTTATGTGACCTGCCAGAAAAAAAGGTATGTAAATGTTGTAAAAAATAAACATGGGGTGGATTGCAGAGGTAAGTACACTGCCAAAACTAGAATTGAGCTTTAGGTTGACACTATAGTATATTTTCATTGACTACACACTTTGAGTTTATAATTTCAGATGTGACTTTTTGATAAGCAATAGGAACATATCACAAACAATATATAGGTTAAAACATGGGACACTATAATTTCATTGCTCACTATGTTAAAATCTGTAGTTAAGTTTACTTTTTCAAGAAGTCCTTAAGGTTTAGTGTTTTTACACAATAGTGTTACTTTATAAATAGATATTTAAGATATTTAAGCGCTCAAAAGGTCACAACTTGTAATGCACCTGCTCCCTCTATCCTGCACATTCAAAATCTTAAGATCTGTACCAACACATGGATGCCACGGTCAGGGGTGTAACTACAGATCATGGGGCCCCATAGCAAAATTTTTAAGGCCCTCCTGGTGACCTCTCTGCTGTCTCTTATCTTAACATAAAGTATCCAAACCAAGAACAGATAGTAGGAGACCTGTTAGCATTGTCAGTACATTACTAGTGACCAGAGCTGAGGACAGAAGTGAAGTGAGAGGCATAAGTGCAGGCAACTGACTTTTAACCTTAATTTTTCCACTACCCACTCTGTCCTTAGTAGCTCACCCTCCTTCTTCAGCATCTAAGATCTTGAGGCCTCAATGTAAATTCTAAGGCTCCAATGGTGTTAGGATCCAAAACACCTCCAGGTGGCGCTGGAGCTAGCCCTGCAGTTCCAGTGCTCACCTGCGGGTGTCTCCCAGCACTTACCCTCCCAGGAAGCACCAGGTGATGGCTATTTAAACCCTCCCTGCAGTCAGGACAATGGCTCAGTATTGTTTCCTGATTGTCCTGAAACTTGAACCCTGATTGTTTCCTGTGAATCCTGAGTCCCCAGTTCTGTCGCCATTTCCGGTAAACCCTGCTTTCCGTCCAGAGTCCTGTTACCAGTCCTGAACCCTGTTTGCTTTTTGGTGTTGTTTAGTGTTGCTGTTTATTAAACCGTATATAATACATTCTGCCCTGTCCGGTGTGGTCATAAGTGTTTGGTCTGCCTGTGTGGGTACTTGCGCAGGTGTGGGGTCACCTGTGCCGGTATCCCTGACAAATGGTATGGCTATTGTTACACTACTGGCCACGACTCCCATGGAAGCTCATCCACAGTCTGATAAGCTGACAGACAACTTTCCACTGACTGAAGGACTGCACAGGTACCAATCAGCAGAATTTTGAAGAGTTTGGTCATAGTAGTCTTTCTCTTCCATCAGGTACCAGGTGTTCTTTGACCAATATAACCATGCTGCATATGTTACCTTCCTCCTTTGCCACTACTAAAAATCATTTGAGACAGCCTAACACAAAATAGGGGGGTCAAATAGAAAATTGTCCTATTGGATAACCTGTAAAAAGCTGTAGAAGTGCAGAAACCATCTCAAGGTCACTTTATTTAGTTATTTGGACATTTGTGCCAATGCCCTTACCTCCTGAAGGGATGTGAGCAGGTACAACACTCCCCTCTCCTTGACTGAGCCCGTGTACTGCAAGTATTCCTTTTTCAGATAAATATCTACTCCATACTGCTTTGAAATCCTTGAATACTGAAAAACAGAACTGCATAATATGTATACAAGATAATAATATGTAATATCTTAAATAATCAAATATAGGAATGCTTGCAAATCAAATGATTCCATAACTATTTAATATTGGAAATACACCAGCATATACTGTAGTTATGTCTTTTGAGCACTAGATGGTGATGTAGTCAATGTTAGTCTCTATGCCTATGCATGTTTTATCTATGATACTGCATATGTTTCCTTCACATTGCTCTATAATGCTGTATTCAGATGTAATGTCCTTATAAACAAGTAAAACTGAATTCAGCATTCCTCAAGATCTCAGTGCTTCATATAAACACATAACCAACATGTAACACATAAAACATGAATATTGTGTAATCCCTTGGCAATTTGAGAGGTTTTTATTAAAAAAATGAGTATATTTTTTTCATTTCTAAATTGTTGTGAACACAAAATCCAAAATGTGCAAATTCTCCTAACAGTATGAATTTTTGTTGGTCTTTTGACTACTTTAACTGGAAAATTATAGTCATAAAGTATTACTAAATCCAAAACATTTATTTTAATTTTGATTAGAGCAGGGAACAAGTAAAACCCCATGTCAGTTTTTTTTTGCCATCTGTGTTCCTTTGGGGTCTTCACTTCCTGTCCCAGAAACACAGCAGGAAGCAAAAAAGAAATCTCTCCTAGTTGAAGGAAAAGTCATTCTTAGACAGTTGTCACTAGACAGATGTCCTTCTTGGAAGATTTAATCTTACTTCCTGCTCCAGTGACAACTATAACATTATAGATTTTTAATTGTCACCAAGACAAATCGAGACTGTGAATATCTACAACAATAGCCTACACTGACCCCCCTGGGACCCAAACTGACCACCTGGGGCCTGCACTGACCACCTGGAACCCTCACTGATAATTTTTAATTATTGTTTGCATTTTCTTTCATTATGGGTGTGGGGGGCTCACTTTTGAGTTTCGCCTAAGGCCTCACAAAGTCTAGAGCCTCCTCTGCCGATGGTAATGGCCATAACACAGCTCATTGGCACACAATTTGTATGATCCATAGGGTATCATGTTACTAGCTGATGTCATACCATACAAGGGGTTTTCAGAACGCCACTTTGGATTTTGAAGGCCGCCGCACTGATGTCCTCAAATCTCAGGAATTCATTCTTTGGTCGCACACTGGACTTCCTTACTTTCGGAAGAACAGGTTCTGCATCTCCTTGTAGCGGTTCCTGCGCGACTCCAGTTACTTTTTTCTCCCATGTGATCAGGTTTCCATTGAGGAATTCTTCTTCCACAAAGTCCTTCAGCCTCTCAGGATGGATGGGTGGCCCGTTTTGTTCACATGGAGCTGGGCCATTTTTGGGAGGCTGACCTTTTTCTTTCTGTGAGATACTTGGCCTTTTGGCAGAACCCTCATCATTTCTGAAAAAAGAAAAAACTATTTATATACATGATGAAATATTATCAAGGACTCTACTGGTTAGAACCACTACCTGAAATGTGTAGCTTCACCCAAACCCCACCTGTTACTATCTTGTTTAGTGTTTGGGTGAACAAGTTAGTTCACCTCCTCCTATTTACATCTCATTTCATTTCTAGGCCAAGAGGACAGTAAGAGGAGAGGTCTGGTTGATGGTGTACTATAAAGATATAAGTAAAAGGTATGTGCTGTAGGTTGTCATCATGTCCCCAGTTTTCAAGTTTATTGGCACCTTAATGGTACACTTTTTAAATTCATGCTGCCATCATTACAAGAAGCTTTCTTCCTTCTGTAATTGCATTGTATTGGATTGTAGCATTAAAGCTCATCTCCAGGCTAAGATTTCCCAACACCTCCTAACCCATTCAGAACTTATTTTCAATAAATGCCTTATGAAGCAATTTTTATGTTCTTCAAACTCCGCCATCAATGCCCATTGCCATCACCACTTCCAGAAGTGGCGGCCGGTGGATCCAGCACTGCAGTGTGTGCTCATTCTGACCAGTTGCCATTCATGACATCAGGCAATGATGTGGACACTCGAATAAGGATCCCAACTCTTGTGCAGGAAACCAGATAGAAGACTCTCGACCTGGGGAATCACGTGGTAGTAGATTTAGGTAAGTAAAAGGTACATTCTCTGCAATTAGTTTGGTGTAGACAAAGAGTGGAAAGGTGGGTTATGTCCAGAGTTCTGCTTCAATCTGCACACTGATTTACAACAACAAAAAATTGCTCTAGTTAATAAATTTCCAGATGCCCAACTACTTTTCCTGGTGAAATTCTTCCTTTAAAAGGTAAGTGCACTTTTGTGACAATTCTAAATGGCATAGGATATTGGTCTACATACCTATTCAATTGAAGGCTTCAGTGCCAGAAACTATCATGTATTATTTCTAGACTGCATTATACTATACACTATATTACAGGAACCCCATGTTGCCAATAAACATGTCATCAGAAGCTGGAGAACACTACCCTACCCTATGTAAGTGTAGAAGCGGTATTCAGGTCTAGAAGGATCTCTCATGCCTCCTTGTTCCCAATCCTGATGGTAAATTATGCAGATGGCATGGGTACTGCAGAAGTGTGAATATAAACAAAGCAGCATTTATATTGGCCTGATGTGATGACAGAATATGGAGAAAGAAACTGTAGGAGTAAAAGTTTGGTGTTCTGGGATGCATTAAAAAGCTAGTATGTTGTTAAACGTGCATTTATCTTTTAGTTAGTAAGGTGTTATGCACTAATATGGCACACAAATGTGTAAACAATCTCGTCAGCTCACACATACAGTATATACTGAAGGAGATCTACAAGCAAGATTTTGTAGTAAATAAGTCATACACACTTGTTACCTTAGTCAGTGTTTGGATGCACTGTTAAGAATAAAGGCTGATAATTCCCATCATAGTTCTGTGATAGTACCCATTAGCTGTAGAGGGCAGTTGGTCAGATACCTGTCTGATTGTGCAGAGAACTGTCAGGCGGCTGAGTCTACATGAACCTGCAAGCCTAAGATTGGAAAATGGCCACATTTTCTTTCTTCGTGCAGCTCAGCTCCCAACTTTCCTCTTCTTTCTTAGTGCAGCTCAGCTCCCAAAAGTCTATTTTTAAGACAGAGTTATCTGTGTATGCTGAAGTGCATGCTAATGGGGTCCAACACATAGACTGTGTGATCTGGGCAAAATTAGATGCACCCCAAATGTAAAATGGCAAAACGTTTCCCAGCATACTCACCAGCCAGCATGCAAGCATGCTGGCTGGTGAGTATGCTGGGAAATTTTTTGCTGCTGTACTGTATAAAGCCCTTCCATGTGCACCTTGCTGTAAAGTTGGTAACAAATTGATGAGTGTGTTTGCCATTTGTTTTGCTTGACCAAATGTAAAATGGACACACAGACCTGTGGGTATGTCATTCAATATGAAGAACTAGCAAGTAGGTATAAGCTGCTATTGTGTATAAATACTGCTGGTTTTGGTCTTGACTAGGTTAAGTTAATGAATGCACAATCCAGATTTTTTCAAGCAGTTGTTACCATGTTTGGAAGATAATTAGATTACAATCAATATGAAAATGGATAACATAGGCAGAGACTGTGGGAGCACTTAGTGAAGGAACAAAACTGGAAAAGGGAATAACTTGAAATGCAATATGTTGCATTCTGATCCTCTTTCCATGACAAAAGCCTGTAGAGCACAGCAGATGGGTTGATAACCCTTTTGCATGATTTTTTAGGCCTGTAACCCATTAAATTCATTTTCTTACCACCGTATTCTCAAACTGTCCGCATATACTTGGATTTCACCCAACACTGTTTATTTGAATATTAAAAGCAGAAACCAGTCAGTACATTGATACAATTACGCAACTGAATTCTGTAGCGATTGTACCCTCCAATGTAATCTTGTTTAACTATCTGCTTATCAGTTTTAGCCAAGAGAATCTGATTTTCACCTTCACAAGATGAAACTTTTAATGTTGTCCCTAATTTATTTAAAGATGAGCCACTGGAAAATCCACTTTTCTGGTAAACTGGCAGAGTGCCAGTCCCACTGGCTTCCACTTGCCCAGAGGATAAAATTCAAAATATTAACAGCCACTTATAAAGCCATCCACAACTCTGCCCCCGGATATATCTCAGACCTTGACTCAAAATATCACCCTAACCGTCCCCTCCGCTCTTCCAAAGACCTTCTGCTTTTCCAGATCCCTTGTCAACTCCTCCCATACTCGCCTCCAGGACTTCTCTAGATTCTCTCCCATCCTCTGGAACTCTTTACCCCAACCTGTCCGTCTATCTCCCACCTTGACTACCTTTAGGCGATCCCTAAAGACTCATCTCTTCAGGGAAGCCTATCCCACCTCAACCTAACCACTGAACCATCACGTTCTCAAACAATTCTTCCCCACACAGCTCCCTCCTCATGTATCACTTCCCCTCCCTTTTAGATTGTAAGCCCTCAGGGGCAGGGCCCTCCTTACCATCTTGTCTTGAATTGTATTGTGATTGTAATGTCTTCCTTATATTGTAAAGCGCTGCACAAACTGTTGGCGCTATATAAATACTATGTAATAATAATAATAATAGTGCACTCCACTGTTTGCTCTTCCAGCTGAATATTCACTTAGTAGAGTTAAGTGAACTGATACAAAAGTGGACCCAGGGATCTTTTATGACTTCAATAGAAATCCATTCTTGCAGCATGTGTGTTCTTCCCATCACCTACAGGGATCTGATTGGGTCCCACTTTTAAACCTGTTAGGGGTTATAGAGTGGAAATTCCCATGTTCCTATTTGATATCGCTTTTTGTGTAGGGAGTACATGCTTTTCAAAAACATAGGGGGGAATTTATCAAAACGTGAGCAGACAGAATCTGGAGCAGTTGCCCATAACAATCAATCAGCTTCTATATTCAGTCTGTTCAGTTAAGCTTTGAAAATAAAAGAGAGAAGCTGATTGATTGTCATGCACAGATTCTGTCTGCTCCAGTTTTGATAGATTCCTCCCTATGTTTTTGAAAAGCATGGGCCTCCTGCCCCAACAGCGATGTCAAATAGGAACATGGGAATTTTCACTCTATAACTCTATAAATTCCCCTCATGGACTTTCTGCTTTGGCTAGGCTCTGCGGCAAAGGAAGGGAATTGCTTAGGTGTCTATTGGACCACATTGCTAGATTAAACTGTCACAGATCGGCTCAGTAGATCGGGAAGTGAGCGAACACATACCGGCGCTCGCTCACTTCTCGATCCTGTCACTGCAGAGAGCCGTGACAGGGGAGTGACTGGATTCTCCCCTCCCCTGTCTGATCCTCCAGCGCTGACTGGCGGAACGGACGGGGGAGGGGCGGGTACAGCTAGCTCTGCCTCTAGGTAGGCAGAGCAAGCTGTCACTCACGCAGCTGGGCGGATCCAGACAGAATTGTCGGGATCCGTTTCAGCTGCGGCGTCTCAGTATACCGCGAGCTGGAGCTCGCGGTATACGTAGGTTAGGGTAACGGGAGGGCGCTAGTTTGTGTCCTCCCGTTACCCTAAGGAGAACTATGGGGAAAAAGGAAAAGCCCTAACCCCATAGTTCTCCTTTGAATACAACGGTAAAGCTCCAATAATGAACACTAATCAACTGATCAATATAATAATATTGTGCCAAAATACAGAGGCTAACAAATCCTGACAGAAGTTCTAATCCTTCACCTCCACCAAAAAAAATGGCTTGAATGCCTCTTCAACTCTCAAAACTGGACCAAGTATTGCACCAATTGTCCATAAATCACCCTAGATTTATATACTTGGATATATGTACCTTCACAATCACTGAGCAATGGAATTTATATAACTGTTTTATTGCATACATAATTTCAGCAGATGTAATCAGAAGAGGTTTATGTTTACCCCTGGGTAATAAGGGAAAAGGTGGAGGAGTAATGTTTTGTATTTTACTTTCAACATCTAATAAATTGGATACAGCTGTGTTTGCTCATTGCCACATCTGGGTACTTCATCATACTTAGCACAGAGAAGAGTTCACAAATGTTTTATTAAAGTTGTTCTTTTCCCTTTAAGGGGGTTGTGTAAGCATATTCAATACCTTACTGCATTCGTATATCAAAAGTTTGAGCCTTGCTAAATTGGACTTAAGTGTTAATCCTGGCTCAACCAACATGCATGTGCCAGTGCTAGCTTTGTTTGTATATAGAAATTCTGATCGTTAAATGATTCAGCTATACTAGACTTTGTAAGTGTCTATCCAAAAAGCCAAAAAAGGTTTTGGCTGGAGGTGGGCTTTAACTTTTTTTTAAAATGATGCGGCAACTGCTCAAGCAGTGTTGTGTTTTTCCCAGCCACTGCCACTATTTTTTTTGTTGGGCAGCTTGACCTGCATGAAATTGTGGGGAAAATATAAATAAATAAATAAAAAGCATGAGATTTTTTTCAAAAATAGAAAAATGAATCTACTAAATAATATAATTAGACAAGAGTTTGTGTTTTCAGTATTCAATAATTTTGCAATAGCTGTCCTTTATTTAAAGGCAAAGGCTTTCCAGCATATAAGAAGTGATCACACTGACTTATAGTGCAGCAAGCTGCAGTGAGATAACTTTGGAATCACACAAGGGTTTAGGGCATCATGATTACCCTATCAATCTAAATAATAATGTTCATTTCCTTCATTCAGTCGTCTGCAAGGGGGTGGCTATTACACCACTCACAAAGTATGTTAATACTGAGGTACATCAAATTCTAATATAAATGTCACTATTGTTTTCTGATGTAATGCAGGCTTTCCCATATAGAGATCGGTATCTAATCTATGTGCTTTGGCTTGAAATGTTCCTTCACCAAGTACAGGGCGGCACACAGAGGATTATTCTGTAATGCGGTCACAATGCAACTGGACATGCAGGGCCTGGGAATGTAGCATCAAAACACAGCAAGCAGCCAGGAAGAAAAATAAAGCTATAATAAACCTACTTGTCTAGGAACAACTTCTGGACACAGCTGGAACACAAGCAAAGAGGAGGACAGGATGGCAACAGTATCACATAATGACACATAACTGATAATACAGTGATTCAAGGAATAGAAATGTAAGCTTGGCCACAGAAACTAACCTTATCTCTTCATGGCCAAAAAGTTTATTAGATAGCTAAATTTATAATAATTAATTTCAGCCAAAATCCAGTGTTGCTGGTTACTTGGGCTAAATACATAGAAAGGCATATTACGAAAAAACGATTGGATGTCTCTGCTGCGCCCGCGTAGATATTCCCTAGACAGTGTGCAAAGTAACATCAGTAGATAAACAGGAAATTGCACCTACAACTCTTAGCATACTACTAGTGTCATATCTGAAAAACTAAATTTTTATGGGATCCCTGTGATCTCACAGCAAGGTGGGCATAGTCACAATATAATTCTATGGGGTGCCAAAAATAAAACAAGGAAGAATAGTAAATGGGGGAGAATGATGAAAAAAACTGGAGAATAGCAAATCTCTACAAAAGCAGCGTTGTTGCTCTTAGTGACCCATCAGGTTTTCATTTTTATTCCACAAGAACATAAAATAAGGAATATGATCTGCCACTATAGGCAACAACTTTTGTTCCCATGTTTTTCTTACATTTATAAATGGCCTCCAAGTGTGTGGCTTAGAACACAGAATCCTATCTTTAATCCTTTAATTTAAAGGAATTAAATCATCTATGCTATTAAGAACTTCAACAAAACTGTAAAGTGTTTTAGGCCAAGGTTCTTTCTGCCCTGGTACTGATAGATTAGTTTTAAAATAAACGGTTAACATTTTAACAATACATCTCACTGCCCTATGACACAATCACTAGGACTGCCATATACAAATTTACTTTATGATCCAACTTTCATAAAAAGGTAACACTATCATCCAATACACAAGTCTAGTAATATCAAGAAAGCCTTGGATCAGAAGGGTTTTTTTTAAAACAAATTTTAATTTGAAAAGAGACTTGCCACATGATTCCTCGACAGACAAATATCTTAAAGTGACATTAAACCCTCAGATTTTTTAACATAAAACAATACTGTAATGTGCGCCTTACTGTAATCCATGGTAGTTTCCCTTCTCTTTGATGTTCTTCCTTTTAAATCTGTATCTGTTCTCATGCTTGGAGAGAACTTCCCTTTTCAGCAGACTGCCTTGTCTCAAACGGTGTCTGTGTATAGGTTTCTATAGGCTGTAACCTGAGCCAGCACTACAGGAAGAGGCCCTGAGCTGAAAAGGGAAGTTCTCTCCAAGCATGAGAAAAGATACAGATTTAAAAGGAAGAGCATCAAAGAGAAGGGAAACAACCATGGATTACAGTAAGGCGCACATTACAGTATTGTTTTATGTTAAAAAATCTGAGGGTTTAATGTCACTTTAATGTAATCTAGTTCCCTGGTAATTGCAAAGTATTATAATCGCAAATGCATATAACACTTTAGAGGCAAAGCTAGCAATACATAAACCTTCTCTCCCATATCCTATCAACATTCAAGTTAATATGAACTACAAACAACGCTTACACCCCTCTTGCGTTATAGTTACTATAGGCCATTGAAATAAATGGCATCCCACCTAATAGGCTTTCTGTTATCAGATGGTAATCAGCAAGTCAAGTTTATAGACCTTTACAGTACAACTGTTAAAGAGAGAGTGTGTGTGTGTGTGTGTATATATATGTGTATATATATTCTACTACAACTATGCAAAAAACACAAAGACAGCGCCTTCTCCTCGTGTGATAAAGTTTATTTTTACAATTATTTGAAGGATAAAAAAAAATACTCACATGTACACAGTAGAAATGGGCAATATACATATCTATACATCCAGGGCAGAGGCAAAAGTGCTGACACGTTTTTATACTTCAAATAATTTAAAAAATAAACAAGGAGAAGGCACTGTCTTCTTTGTTTGTGTTTTTGCATGCTCCATGAGGATACATCCCGGTTGCCTTCTGGATGGCAGCCTCTCCTTAAGTGGCTGGTTGTGAAGATTGTGGAGGAGTATCAAGCTTTGTCTGCTGAGCGTTGTGGGTGTGATTTTTCTACCTACAACTAGTTTAAATGCAGGAATTTTACTTGGATTCAGTCTTTTTAAATGCCCTGTACTGGGAGCAGCACTGAGACTGGGAGAGGGAGCAGCAGTACTTGAGGCCAATAAGGTGTCCCACTGACAAGGAACATGCTTATAGGAGGCAAAGGCAGAAAGATGAGCTCATAAGCCTGTTTAAAGGCTGACCCTTTACTGACCAATGCCAGTAGGGGAGTAGGGAGGGGACCTAGCTGTGCTTCTTAACTGAAGAAGAGAAAAGTCAGGTCAACACACTGGTTGTGCTGTTTGGCAGAACTGTGTTAATTTCAGGATATGATAGATATACAAAACCTTGGGCAATTACCACAGGTCCCATATACTGTATGTATTTCAACTGCACATTTATTGTAAATACCTGGGTTTAGGCTTTAGATACTACCGTAGTTACCATTCCAATGTCAATCGACTGTGAGGTCAAGGAAAGGCAACATTAAAAGCCAATAAGAATTATGTAAATACACTGTCAAATAAACATTATTTTAATGTTTGGTTCCAGTTGGACCCAAAGGAACTGTAGATATCATCATCATCCTTTTAATTCATAGCTAGTCTAGTCTGTAGATATTCATTGATAAATCACTAGTATAAAGTTTACAACAATAAAATTATCAATAAACATCTATTGACTGTTGACTGTGTCTAATTGGGCCCAAGACGCTCATCAGAATCCATCTTGAATATTCATAAAAGTTTCATATCTGTTTGGAGAATAGGGGTGAATAACTACAGCACTGGGAACTGCAAGAGAGTCTCCATAATGGGGCAAGTAAAAACAAACAATCACAGATGATCTACAACAGTGTATTATGTGTTTCCTAAGAATCATTATTGTGCTCATATTACAGTATTTAGTTTAGATTCACAGTTTGGCAAAGATGCCTCTTTAGCAGTTATTAGTCATATCTGCAGAAGAAAAGGGGCAACCGACAAGTATATGAAGTCTGCTTTAGCACATGACCTGAGTATATGTGTTTTTGCATGCTTAGAACAAAATCAAGTCACAATCAAAGCCCTATATTCCTAATATTTAAAGTCCTAATATTTTCCAACTTTTATTTTATTTGTGTTTAAGTGTGACACCTCTTTTACAGGTGGAAAGGTGTGGGGTATTGCTTATTTCTAACTAGTTTATTATTTTGGTCTAAATAAAATAAAGCCAGTTAGTGCTTCAGATGACATTAAATAACAGTTGAAAGCTAAATGGTATAGCATATGAAAGCATATGAAATTAAAAGTATTTGCACATAGCCAATAAACAAACAACAAATTATAAGCCACATTAAAGGGAATTACCTATATAGCACAGCTATGACAAAGACAGCGAGGTGAAGCAAACCCGCCACTACTGCCCCCAAGGGAGGGAGGAGAGGTTCCGGATACAGAGGGGTGCCCAGAGCTCTATCACTGCCCATGCCTTCTAAAGGACTACAGTGGGGTAAAGGTTGCCCAACCTGCTCCAGAAGGGATCAGAATCTTCTTCTCGCTCGGAGTCCTGGGCAGGATCCCTGCTGCTTAATATTTTGGAGTACAGGAACTGAGCAGCAAAATTCATAATTTGCTTCTTCTTTGCCTCCCACTCAAGGAACTACTCCATGAAAGGAAAGCAATCCACTCTTTAGTGGGACACTTTGACTGAGTCCCCAGCCTCCAAGTTCAGGACAGAGGACATTCACTTGTACACAGCAAGTGTTGGCGAGTGCTATATATAGAGATTACAGAACATGCCAACCTGTCCCTGCCAATTTTACTCACACCTCGGATTAAACTGTACTTTGAAGATGGAGGATTGGCTAAGTCCCTTAGAGGCTTAGTTAGTATCTCTTTGCTACATCATCGCCCTAGTTCAATACAGTGCTATGTTTAATCCTTTAATTCAAAGGAAATTTAGAGTTGGAAAGTACTGCAGAAGTATTTATTGCAGTCTTAGTAAAGTAATACCTGTGACTGACAAAACCGAATGGTAAAGAGCATGGACTGCATTTAAGGTAGTATATGGTAGATGTAGACATAATAAATTCAAACTTGGTAGATAATTTGACTACATGGGTTAGTTTTACAAAGCTTCCAGAGAAGCTGACATTTTTAGTGCTCAGTCTTTGCTATCATACCTGTCTCTATGCAGAGTCCTCTTTGTTCTAGTTGTATGTTGCACATAATTGGCGGAGGGAAATCAACCATCACAGGGATTTCTGGCTCCAGTAAATAACTCCTGTAGAAGAGACAGTGTTTGTAAAGTTAGAAATCCTACATTATCTCATCCGGAGACCTGGAATTGCTGCCTAATCTAGGCTGATGGTGAATTGCTGCACTAAGGTGAAAGGTCATTGGGATGTGTGCTGCAGTTTTAGGAAGGATGTGAGAGTCTTCTAATGGAGTTTTTGACAACATGATATATTCACACTGCTGGATGTAAAAGCCTATAGGCAAGTGGTTTCCCCATAGAAATGAATACTGAAATACACAAACTTTATAAGGAAACAAAATGGAGTAGGGTAATTTTTTTTTGTATGGGTGTGTTTGATCAGATATTGTTATACCGCCTTTACAGTATAAATAACCTCCTTATTAATACACATTTAATACAGGGTAAATATATGACACTAGTGTCACAGAGCATTATGAGTGTTTTTTAAAGATCGCAGATGTTGTTACCCTTTTGACTCACTGGAACTCTATATGGCCCTGTATGAACATACCGGTAGGAAGGTGGGTAGTAGCGCCACTCTTACTAGTCATTGAGTTGTGTATGTAAATCTGAGCTTGAGCTATTGAGCTCTGCTCAAATCAGCTAGCATTATCATGTCTTGAGCAAGCACAGTAGCACATTTACATATCTCCCAGGAGCAACTGAGATACTCCCAACTGTAGGGTACTTAGGAGCCCTAAATCAGGCTCCTTAGTGAGCCAGGCGGAGCTAAAATAAGAAACTGCACCTGGCCGTAGTGACCACTAAGTTCCAAGCCCTATATATGTACCAACTCCTCCAGGAGTTTGTTCGGTTGCAGGCAGAGGGAAGCTTCAGTAAAGAGTTGTAAAGTATGCAGTTGTACTTGGTTTAGATCAGCAGGTGATCAAGTGCAAGGGTTGCGGCTTATGTCAGACAGGGTACTGGTCCTTTTCTCAGCTGGTGGTGTTGCACTGGTGGTGTTTTATTATTTAAAAATGTAGGCTATTTCCTAAAGGGACAGTAACTAAAGTAAAAAAATGCTTTATTGTAATTATGTATGATGCTTTTTGATTAAATGTACAGGTGGCATTGTTATACTGTGTGATGTACTGTATAGGTGGCATTGTTATACTGTGTGATATACACTTTGTGCTTTACTTCCCTTTGACCTCTGCACCCTGTACGTTGCTTCCCTTTGACCTCTGTGCATTACTTACTCCTGACCTGTGCCTTATTCCCTCCTGACCTCTACACTCTGTGCCTTATTCCCACCTGACCTCTGCACCTTATTCCCTCCTGACCTCTGCACTCTGTGCATTATTCCCTCCTGACCTCTGCACTCCATGCATTACTGCTGACCTCTGCAGTCTGTGCATTATTCCCTCCTGACCTCTGCACTCCGTGCCTTATTCCCTCCTGACCTCTGCACTCTATGCATTACTTACTCCTGACCTCTGCACACTGTGCATTACTTACTCCTGACCTCGGAATTCTGTGTGTTACTTATTACTGACCCCTTAACACTGTGCATTACTACTGAGCTCTGTGTTATTTACTACTGAGCAGTAAAGCTAAACCAGAACAATTCTGCCATTTAGCTCTCTTTCCAAATTGCCTATATTGGCCTAGATTTTGAAATTCTCCTACAAATTCCCCTGTAATTCATCTTTTAGTGAATAGATCTGCTATTTTAAAAATAGTGTAGAGACATAAATTCTGTAACACAAGATATGGGCAGAACACAAGGGGGCCACAAAATCTCGTATTGCCCGGGGGCCACATGTGTTGTCAGTCCGCCCCTGATAGAGTGGGAACATGGGTACTTGTTGCTGTGCCTCCAACCCCTACAGAAGTGTGTCCATAAATACAGAGGTTGAAAATTGTCTTAAAATATAAGCAGGTGTCCAAACACAACCAGTTCTGGAAATTCTTTGAGGCACAGATTCCAGAGTGTGTAGGCCACAAAACATGGTGACTGCATTCTCTTCATTTTTCTTTAGGCGCAGTGCAGACTCTTAACACTGTCAGTGAATGAACCCAAAAAAGTTCTACAAGTGTATCTCTGATGTTATTACATCTGATGCCCACATCCTTTCATGGGCTGTATAAAATATTCCCAGCTTTTTCCACAATTGAATTCCACAGCATCATTGGGCAAGAATTCTGTTTTCGCTGATACCTTTCCTGAAGTTTTCCATATCTGAACTTTGACTTTTTTATACATCATGCGCTTGTTATGTGGAATGAAGTAATTGACTACGCAGCGGCAGGAGACTTGTGTAGTAGAGAGTAATGAGAAACAGCCCTCATGGGTCTTGAAAGACAGTATTGTGATTTCATAACAACCACTACATACAGCACTAAACTCATAAGGCTGGGAGGGATTCCAGCATCTCTGTAAAGACATGGAAAACAGCCAGCCACCCTCTATGGGAAAATGGAGCTTCTCTGGCAGCATTGTAGCCGGGGACTTTTACTCAGAATGTGAGATTGCGTAAAGGTAGCAGGAAATCTTTACTGGACTATATTGTCATGAAAATTACATTTAGGTTTTCTCTATGTCAGGCTCCTTGGAAAAGTACAAGTAGTACAGTTATAGCCCAGAAATCTAAATCAGAAAGCATGTAAATAAAACTCATACCAAGAGCAATGTATATTTTGCCACTACTAACTTTTTGAAAATGTCAGCTGTTTGGCTGTCTCTACCTTTATTGCATTCTGAGTTACTGAACAAGAACAAGAATGCTGCAAGTAAAGTCAGCGCTCCTGTATATCTCATTGGTCCCTCATTTGGAGCCAAATCCCTCTGTCCCTCTTTAGTATTCAGACCAGGCAGTGATTATGACATGTAGTCATTCTCACTCCTTTATCTATGGCGATTAGTGACCTGCAATACATTATACAGCAATGCAGGATTATACCACCACCTACAGAGGACTACAAATCCCAGCAATACATTATACAGCAATGCAGAATAATACCACCAACTATAGAGGGACTACAAATCCCAGCAATACATTATACAGCAATGCAGAATAATACCAGCAGCTATAGAAGACTACAAATCTTAGAAATGAATTATAGTATAATGCAGAGCAGCAAGAATATATATATATATATACAATTGGTAGGGGGAATGATTGTGCTGATCCATTCCTGCTGCATGAAGTGCCCAACATACTGCTCCTCTGTAGTCAAATCACATGCTTCTCACAGCTCTGTAATGCTCATCCTGCTGCTTCAAACACTGCTGTGTTATTGGCCTCTGTACAATGATCAATTGTGGATTATCCTGGAGCCAAAATATTATTGTTTTTGGAAAGGTTCAAGCCCAAACTGCTATATAACTAATGTGACTAATGTGGGTTTATAGGAGATGGTTGTTTAAAGTACACCATGAACTTTAGAGTGATTTTATGTCAATGAAATGTATGAGCACTGTATATTCAAAACATAATTTTTTTATGGAAATACTATATAAAGTTGTTGACCTATCTTTGGACCACTGAGCCCCAATAATATTTTTTATATGTAAGAGAGCACACTCCATCGCACACTCACACCACACACTCATCGCATATGAGTGTATGGTGTAACACTGAGGTCAGCGGTGAAACGCACAGGGCAGAGGTCAGCGGAGTGACGCGCAGCGTAGAGGTCGGCAGAGTGACGCGCAGAGGTCAGCGGAGTGACACGCAGAGGTCAGCGGAGCGACGCGCAGAGGTAGGTGGAGTGACGCGCAGAGGTCGGCGGAGTGATGCGCAGTGTAGAGGTCGGCGGAGTGACGCGCAGCGATCAGCGGTGTAATGTAGACGTCAGAGGGCAGTATGTAACGCACATTGCAGAGGTCACCGGAGTGACGCACAATGCAGAGGTCAGCAGAGTGACGCACAGTGCAGAGGTCAGCGGAGTAACACACAGTGCAGAGGTCAGGGAGTGACGCAGAATACAGAAGTCAGCAGTGTAACACACAGTACAGAGGTCAGCGTGTGACGCACAGTGCAGAGGTTGTTTTACAAGATCACACAAGTCCCATGTTTAAAAGACCGTGTTGCTGTCTATTACATTGCTGTTTTAGAGTACAAAATGGACAATGCAGTATACATTCCCACTGGTACATATCCCTTCCATATACAATGGCCTCAAGACTTGTTTTCTGATTGGTGTCAGCGATTTTATTCCCTTATCCATTTGTATCCTTCCTGCTCCAGGAAATCATTAAATCATCTGACGCTATGTATGATAGGGCACAACATTAACAGATGTGCAAGGAAACACAGATACTGCTATGACATGTTTTTAGAGACATTCACAGTACAGTTTTTTTTTTGTTATATAAACTCTCCAACCAGATAATCACAGCAAAGAACTTTCTCCATATGTAGACATTCTTGAAATGTGCACATAGCATGAATAAACTTCAGGGTAACCGGGAACTAAATTGCAATGGTCTAAGTCTTATCTGTGTAGGGCAACCTTTCTGAACCTTCTGGCATTGCTTCCTAAAAGGGGGCTCTAAGGTAAAAGGGGAAACTCCATGGCACATTTGTGCAATGTATACACTAAGTAGACCCATGTTCTGTTGAATCATGCCTTTATGGGACACACTTACGTTTGTGGCCATGCACAACATTCTCCGCAGGTACACCAGTTTAATATCCTCATAGCAATGAATTGAATGTCTTTGTGTGTTGCCTTAGGGGCATGCTCTGGTATAACACGCACATGCTAGAGTGTGTTGTTTGGGGTGCTGTGAAGCTTTGTTACAACAAATTATGCTGTTTCTCTTATGTCATAAAATCACTTTTAATTCAGCTCTATGCACTGTGTCCGGTTGCAATTCGCTTTGTTGACATACTGTGACGTGTTGAGCTGAGCAAAAACAAAATTGTGCTGCATTCTTACACATTGCACACCACCGAACATGTATGGTGTGACAGGGCACATAGGAAACAGTTGTTTGTTGCACTGAGCCTGTGTTGATCAGTGCTGATCAATGCACCTGGTGTAAATGAGCCCTTAAAGTAGTATTCATCTCTCAATCTTTTTTTTAACAATAATGAATCCAGATCAAACAAAAATACATTGTCCAGCAAAGTATTTCTTTATATTTCCGCCCAAGCACTTCCAGTCATCATGGTTCCAAACTGCTCCAACTCTCTCTGCTCTTCTTCCCCGAACTTCCTGTCCAGTACACGATTATAAGGGACACAGCAGACTCCTGCAACTGTCTACTAATTAGGAGAGAAGGAGGAGTGGAGAGCTGGAAACAGGGAAGTGCGTTGCCTTGCTGTGTGTTTGTGGAGACGCACACAGCTTACTAGCACACACAAAGGTGACTCCTTAGGACAATGCAAGCGAAAGGAGCCGCCCTAAAACAGGATATCTGGGCCAATTCTTAGGGGGCCAGATGAATCTGCAGGAAACTATAACGTTTTATCATCAAGAAGCAGCATCCAACTTTTGAAATGGCTTAAAGACTTTTTGACTTCAACATGTGTCTGATGTGCCATTCAAAAAGCACCCCAGCATAACTATTCACACTTGTCCATTTTCCAGCTGCAAAACGCATGAGTTTTATGCCATGAAAACATTTCAAGAATAATTTTCCTATGTGGCTGGTTAATATCTATCCACTACTGTTTAATGGGTTTTTAATGGGCACATTGACACCTAGGCATGTGCTTTACTACTCACATAGGTGTGAGTGGGCCCGTGTAGAAGTATGTTTTCCTAAGGTAAGTGTGGTGCTGGAATGATTGTACCTCAGCAGGATACAAGAATACATGTTTTTTTTTTTTACATTTTGGGTAGGATTGATTCCTGGGTCTGAAATTTTTTTTTTGGCTTATGGTCAACTGTTAAAAATGAATAACTCATATTTTCTTTAAAAAAAATAAAAAGTTACAATTTAAAGGCTATATGGAGTCTATTATTGCTGGGCTTGTCTTCTGAGAGTGCTAGGTGCCTGGTTACCATAGTCCCTCTCTGCCTTCTATACTATAGGGCTGATGTATTAAATAGTAGTCCTAAACTCCGATCCCTATGGCCACTATAACCAAGGGTGCCAGCAAAAATCCTGTTTTTATATGTTTCCTTACACGTGATTGTGTATTAAATTCTCCATGGCTTGCCTTATTTACTAAAACTCACTTCCTATTCAATGTCAGTAAATCAACCCCCTCTGAATCACTGACTAGTAGCCATAATTAGATTTGTTCTGTCTTTTCTGCTTGGTTTAGTTGTTGCATGTCACGGTCTCAGAAGTGAATAAAACTTTTGGCTGCAAATAACAGACAGTCAACCATACTTTTCAGGAGGAGGGTAACAATGACACCCCCCACCTAGTATTTATTTAACAGGTTTAATGTAAAGCCGAACTCTCAAGATTTGTACAGTAATCCAGTGTAAAACGTTGACAGGGAGTTTCCTGTAATAATGACCAGCCACTGCTGGTCCTCTTTTGTTTTTCCTCTTTTGTTCAGGGTGACTGATCTTGTATCTGCCCCTCCTGTAGTTTCATGCAGGCAGCCTGTAGTGGGTGGGGTCTGCTTGGCCCCTCCCACAGCTCTGCTCTCTGCACATGCTATGTGCAGCACAGTTATGATGTCACCTCTACTTTTATATGGTAATACGTATTTGGGTTTGCAAAGGTATTTATTTGGTGGCTGTTCAGGCATATATTTCAATGAATGTTTTTGTTCCCAGAGTTCAGCTCTAAATGATCAATTCTTACTGTATAAATAAATGCATATTTTCATGTGAAAATAAATGTGTAAATAATAATGACCCCAAGGTTTAAGGAATATTTACTTTCAAGTAAACAAGTACCATGTGGTTTTGCAGCTGTTGCAGAGCACCAGGCATGAGTGAAAAACGCTTGAAGATCTGAAGCTGGGTCTCGGCATGTCATTTTCCTGTAATACCCGAGGCATGGACGGGGTTAAAGGCATGGATATTTTTTTCACACACTTTTCCTGTAAGGTTAAACACTGGCCTTTGAATTCCATGCACGCCCTATGTGTATAAATACAGTGAGGGGG